CAAGCTTCAAAACATCGTCGCTCTCTCGACTCCCTTTCCAATTTACACTCAATTCGCGTCTGGCAAGGAGGTATCGCAACATACGTGCCATACTACATAGAAACAAAAGCCAATGCCAGATATACCATTCGAATCGGGCGAATGGGTGCGAGGTCAGCACGGCGGTCACCGTGGCGGTCAAGATCTTGGTAGTACCTCTATCAAATTATGAACCTTTCCACGACTGATACCTCGCATAATTGATACGTAGACGTTGTTGTGTAGTGTTTCACATCCTCACGAAATTAGTGTGGAACCAGCCATCGAACCGTCGCAGGTTGCATGACCGAGTTCTGGATTTCGACGCCATCGCCGCCGGCGAGATTTGCACTGGAACGATGATCGTGACGTGCTCAACACTTTTTGATTTCGCCGCGACGTCATGCAGTCTGCAATGCTAGCGTGGCACGTGCTGATATTGACCACGACCACCGTCGTTCTCTGTGGCACGATGGCGCTTTTCATTCAGAGTCGAAAGGCACGGGCGCATCCAGGTCCCGTTCTGGTCTGCCTCATTCTGTCCAGTTCCTTCAGCATGATCTTTCGCGCGTGCACGCACATCATGTCCCCCACCGCGCCGTCATTCACATCCATCGACTTCAACCACGAGGTCGAGACCAACACGACTCTCATCTTATACTGGTTCACGCTGTATTTTGCATCGTCGACGACGTTCTGGTACCTCATGTTGGCCATGGATCTTATTTCGTCGCTGTCGAATCCATTTCTACCATTCCAATCCAACAGCCTCATTCACCACATGCTCGCATGGCCGCTGGCCGGCGTCTGGTGCGTCTTGTACGACATTGCCGTGTACCAGCAGCCAAAAAGTGTGCCCGAAGTGCACTTGCGCATGGTCGTTCTCCTGCCTCTATACGGCTCGCTCATCTACATTTTGTTTGCACTCCATGCGGCTGAAGCCAGGTCGAGGCAACTCACTACTACGACCCACGCCACCACCCTTCGAATGGCCAAGCTCATCGTGCCATATCTGGTGGTCTTTGGCGCATCGGGCATGGCGCACATGGGGATTTTTGTTGCCGACTTGTACAACGGCAAGCCGACCGGGTATTCGTCGTACATAGATCAGTTGGTCGGAATCGTGAGCACGATGGTTCTGTTTGTTCGGTTCTACTTTGATTCGGGCGTGTGTCGGCGCCGAGCTGTGAACGCCCCTCCAAACCAGAGCGAAGGAGATCTCTCGACGGTCGTCTCTCCTCAAGACGACAACTTCAGCGACTATCTGCGTACAACAGCGTCCCCCAGCGAAGCGCCACCGCTGCCCCGCGTTCAGTCGACCACGAATTTCAATGTCGACATTGCAGCAGAGCTTCGGAAAATGGTGATGGACCTCACGCGCATGGGGATCGTGTCCGCGGCCGCGAGCGAGGTTAGCGACGATGAACCGTCCGTTGTCTCCGACCGTGCGCCCACCGCACCCGACTTTACCGCAGTTGAGCGAAAGCGGATTACTTTCTGGGGAGGGACTGCGGCCACCGTCGCGGATGCTTTGGTGTTTGAGGACGTCGCCCCGACCGTGTTTCATTCCTTGCGCGAGCTGGCCGGCATTGGGCAGGCGTCGTACTTGCACTCGTTTGACTCGGACGAAAACCTGCGCGAAGTGTGCTCGGAGGGCAAGAGCGGCAACATTTTCTACTTTACAGGTACGATTCGTTGCGTGGGCCAGCACCGACACCCCTGACATGGTATTTCCACAGCAAACAGACAATTTATGGTCAAGAGCGTCCCAAAGGAAGAGTTTGATACGCTGCGGTCGATTCTGTACGTCGAGCGCGACGACTCGAGCGCGATCGACTCATTCTGTGGTTTGTCATGTAGGTCAGAATACTACACGTACCTCGTTCAGAATCCATCGTCGCACCTGTGCCGGTACTTTGGATGCCATTCGATCACGCTGCCCGTGGGCACTCGCCGCATGTACTTTGTCGTGATGCAGAACCTCTTCATCGAAGGTGTCGCACTGGACGGTGGGTAGAACGAATGTAAAGTCGTTGGGTAGGGCCACCGCACCAACGGTACGACCTGAAAGGCAACACAGACCGACGGCAAGCCATCCCGAGCTGGGACGTTGAAGCCAAGATGCGCGCCGCCGTCATGCGACAAAAGATCGCCAAGCTCATGATGGACATTGACTTTTCCCGCATCCATCAGTGCATTTCGGTGTCGGACGCGGATTCGACGGCCGTCAAGACGCAGCTCAAGCGCGACATTCAGTTCCTGGCGGGCCTGCACATCATGGACTACAGGTACGATCGATTGGAATTGCGGTTTGGAGCGTTGGTATCATGGGGACCAAGTATACTTGTCGGCGTCCGGTATGTGGACCAGCCGTGCGTCCTCCGCAATGGCGCGGCCGTGCCTTCCAAGGACGGCATGACGATGTACGATATTGGAATCATTGACATGCTCCAGCGGTACAATTGGCGGTGGACTGTAAGCACCGCAACTCCACATCGTCGGGCAGCTCGAGGCTTGTGTAGGTCCAGCGGTGGTTCCTTGGGACTTTTCTATGCAAAGACATGACCGAAGTGAGCGCAGTGCCACCCACCCAGTACGGCGACCGCTTGATTCGGTTCATCTGGCACAGTATGTTCAACCAAGCACGGCGCGAGAGCAGGTCGTCGTTGTTCACGAACAGCACTCAACCCAGCGGCCTGACATTCGCCGAGGTTGGGGGAAGCACAATCGAGTGTGTAAATGGGGCTGAACAGGGGCTTTGTGGTAGGGGGCAGATGGGAGGCTGAGCCGTCGGCCCAGTGGATATCTGCAGTTCAAAACAGAGGTGTGCAGCGAGCGCTCCCCCCTTCGATGCTCGAATGTGCTGAACCGACCGAGAACGTAGGGCGAGTCAGGGGCAACCCCAGACTTGTGGTTTGCCTCGAACCTCTCGGACGATATCATCGACATCCACGATTGTGTTCTCTTGCAGGAAACGTCTTGAAATATATAAATCTAGATCCGTCCATCCGAAAGGCATTGTTGCGAGAGACAATGCTGGGAGTGGTCGGCACGTTCAGTCGGTAGACGGATGCAAGGGCTTCGGCGCATCCCCCTCGCACGTCCATCCTGTCCATGGGCTTCGGGAATTCGTGGCTGAGAATCGCTCCAGTTCAGCACCTATAAATATGACGGTCGAACCAAGATCGCAAGTTGAAGTTGTCTCGAAGAGTGGACCGAGACGAACGGAGGGGCGCGCCCCAGACTTATCCAGTGCCGTCTTCGTTGACCATAACTCGGAAGCTGCTACCTGTCTCCGACGGGCTGATCGTGAACGAAGAGGGCGTAGCGCCCCTCCAACATTCTTGAGTACACGTCCCGACGAGGAAGATCGACAGGTGCATGCTACAGAATACCACGTGTGCGATGCTGGAGCCACCGCGAGGGTCCGAGCGTCGATCGAAGGATTTTCTGCCTCGACGAGATCTGGAACGTCGGCAACTTGCACTGGGATGCGCAGAAGCGTGCATATGGCATCTTCGTCGGATCGTGGGAATATGGCAGGCGAGGAAACAGGCAACTTGTCCATTCGAGCATGTTGTCGGCATGTGCAATGATACCCAAGAATGTACTTCTCCAACAAAGGTCGTGTGGACGCGGCGCATCCCGCCAACACGAGCGAGGCTCTGGACGTCTACCGTTCGTCCCAGTAAATAGTATGCCAGCCACTCCCCTCGTCGTGCCACCGGCGCGAGTGTGCCGACAGTCGACTCGATTCTATCCTGGCATCCTATGTCGATGATGGAACTGTGATCGAGCTCCACTCGGCCTTGGTTCAAGTTGAACCTGGTCCAGAACTTTGCCGCACTCAGTTCCGTACCAGCCATCGAACGACGTCGTGCCTTCGCCACATGCCATGCCAGCAAGAAGAATCCGTGCATCGGCAAGGAGACGTGGTGGTGGGCGCCACATACGACGACGTACCTTGACCATAGAGTATTCGTTCGAAAAAATCGCCCATCATGCGTCCAATATGCGTTCGTGTGTGGCTCGTTTACGCGAGTGGCGCCGGTCGAGTCACGTCGCAAGGGTGCCCTCGAGAAGCAGCACAGTCACGGGAGGAAGGTTCGCGCACGCATAGTCCATCAGGCGAAAGGACACTCGGCATACAAACGCCTCGTCGACCGCAAGTCCGGAGATTACTTGTGGTCAGCCCGTCTGCTCTTGGTGCCCAAAAATCGAACGTGGTCGAACTCAGCCGTGACTCTCATTTGCGGATATTGTTTCGCATGGTTGAGATTCCTGCGCTGCTGGATGCCACGCTGGTCGTCGTAGCGGTCGTCGTCCTCTTGGCTTCGACAGCGCACTTCACGTACCATCCCCGCACACGAGCTTACCCTGGACCAGTTCTCATCTTCATCCTCTTTTCGTCTGGCATGGGCATTCTCCTGCGATCTGCCATGCATCTAGCAGCAATAAACATCGCGTTTCCCACGGACCGTGAACCTTCCGACGGCGCGAGCCCACCGGTGCCACTCACCCTGGTTGACGTCGCCCATGCCGCCTTGATGCAAGCATCGGTTCTTCCCATCCGTGTCTCGATTCCGTTTTGGGCCATGCTCTACTTCACGTCCGCAGCCACGTTTTGGTACCTCATGCTCGCGATGGACTTGATCTCGTCGCTGTCGAATCCGTTCCTGCCCTTCCAAGCTAACAATATTCTCCACCATGTTGTGACGTGGCCAGCTGCATCGGCGTGGGTCGCCGCCTTTTACCTCTTCTTTCGCACAGACGCCGAATCCGCGACCCCCACGACAAGCCTCCGCATGTGGATGATCCTTCCCATGTACGTTGTCATGGCGTACATCACGATTGCCCTCTTTGTCACGTGGAGAAAGTCGCGCACCCTCGAGACACAGGCACATACGACGACTCGGCGCATGGCCAAGCAGATCATGCCTTACCTATTCGTGTTCGGTCTCGGTGGGCTCGTCGACATTTGCCTGTACGCAGCGGAAGTTCACATCGAAACGGTAACCGGCTATCGATCGTGGCCCGTGAACATCATGCACCAAATCACTCAAGTGGTGCAAGTGGTGGCTGTGCTGATGCTATTTCAGCGCAAAGCCGGGTGGGTCCTGTGCTGGCGTCGGCGAACGACGGTGGCGTCGCTTCAGGCCGTGGCGCAGCTCTCGCCGTGCGCGTCGCCCATGGATGACACACAGCGCGCGACGGAGGACGATGATCGGTTGAGCGGCGAAGATCTGAGCGTGTCAAACGTGATGCGCCAGTGCATCATGAAGTACACGTCGATGGGCATCATCGAGTCGGCCCAAAGTGCAGTCGCGAAAGCCCCCGCCGACATCACCTTGGAGGACTACACGGTCGTCGAGAACAAGATCGTTATCGTGCATGGCGAAATGGACAGCGCCATCCTCACGTTTCGCGACTGTGCGCCTGCAGTGTTCCAGCACATTCGGTCCATGTGTGGCATCAGCCAGGCCGACTACGTCAACTCGTTTGCGCTGGATCGGAATATGAATGAGCACGGTTCAGAGGGCAAAAGCGGCAACTTGTTTTACTTTACAGGTAACCATTGCATGAAAGCTTACGGGGCGGCGCCAACGCTGTCATCCCTGGGTAGCCAACAAACGATTTATGGTCAAGAGTGTGCCTGAAGACGAGTTCGAAGCACTCCGGTCCATCTTGTACGTGGTTGCCACGCCAGCAATGACAGCTCATGGGTCGTCTTTGCAGGCCGAGCTATCACACATACTTGCAGACCCATCCCAAGTCGTTCTTGTGCCGGTACTTTGGCTGCCACTCGATCTCGTTGCCCGTGGGCACTCGCCGCATGTACTTTGTCGTGATGCATAATCTGTTCGACGAAGGCCCTGTGGACCACAGGTTTGACTTGAAAGGGAACACGGACCGTCGCCAAGCAATTCAGTCGCACCATGTCGAACAGTACATTGCTCGGTCCCAGAACCGAGAATACATTGCCAAAGTCATGATGGACATCGACTTTCTGAAACTACGCCAAGCTGTCCACGTCGACGAGAGCGACGAAGCCGAGATGCAGTCGCAGCTCATCCAAGACATTACGTTTCTGGCAACCCAAAGCATCATGGACTACAGTGTTCTCTTGGGCGTGAAATTCGTTCGCGACGAACACACGACCACCAACGCCACAGTCTCCAAGACTCGAGACCGCGTGTATTACGTGGGCATCATCGACATGCTGCAGCGATACACGTGGCGATGGACCCTCCAGCGGTGGTTTCTCGGTCTTGTGTGCTGCAAAGACATGGGGAACGTCAGTGCTGTGCCGCCGAACGAGTACGGGAAACGCCTCACACACTTTATCCGGTCAAGGTTCTTTCACACACCAGGAAAGACGCGATACAGTGGATGGACGAATCTGGAGTCTCCTGCCCCGCCAGACGTCCCCCGACCGAGCGGACCAAGTGCGTGGACCACGGAGGTATGTCCGGTTGTCCGAACCGCTCGTTGCCACGAATATTGAATCGTGCATTTAGGACGACTTTATGTCGCCGTCCGCTGCCGCCATGTGGAGGAATGCCCAGTCGCCATTTCACATGCAAATGGTGCCTCCCCACCGAAAGTCGGGGGGATTCTTTGTCGCGTCGTCGTTTTAAGGGGTGTATGGAAAGGTGGTTTCGTCGTCGGTTTCGTGTTGAAAGAGATCGCATGTGTCGGTTTCTACATCTATTTTTAGCCGTCGTCGACCGGATTGGTCCGTCCTAGGGCAAAGATCGCCATGGTTTTTGACCCTCCACCGCACTTGCAAACGTGCATCCCCGTCCACCCATGGTCACGCAGGACGCCACACCGGACACTATCAAGCCCCGCCATCTCTCATTCTTGTCCATCGATGAGTCGCCGGCGAATTACGAGCTGACGCATCTGCCCAAGCCACATGACAAGTCCAAGACGGCGCATCCAAACCAGGACGACAGTGGCGACTCGGACGAAGGAGATGACGCCGGCGACTCTCCGTTGCCCAGCGGAAGCAAGCGAAAGCGAGCGAAACGAGCGATTGCAGGCGATCTCAGCCCTGTTACCGGCGCGACGGTGGTGGTCCCACCAACGCCGCGTATTGAAGCCAATGTCGTGATCGTCCAACAGCCTCCGACCACGTGGAACTGGCGCAACAACCACCCGACGCTCAAGTTCGACATGCATCTTGGCCTCGTGGCCTCGAGCAATCCGTGCAAACTTCTACCCCTGGATGACCGAGGGTTCACCTTGTGGCTCATGAACGAAGACGGGTACACTCTCACATCTTGACGTCTTGTTGATCTTTGCTCTCCCCCGTAGAAACGGGATGTTTGGTCATTTCAAATTGCAATGGACGGCGGATGACAGATCGGGGCCAACCGTGGCGGTGATGCACGCAATTCTGGCTGTGGACACCGCCGCCCCCCCCAAGGACGACCAGGTAGGCTTGACTCACATACATCAACTTCGACCTCGTCCACCCACTTAGATTATTCGCATTTACGTGTCGTACACGGACTCGAAGCGATACAACGCGCACCCGATGGAGTCGGACGACATCGTTGTGCAAGGCGTTGGCCAGCTTCATTCCAGCGCCTTGTCCCCCATTCCAAGTGGTCCCGTCTGCGACGAACCAACGCCCCCCTCAACCTCTCCCTCCAATTCGTCCATGAGTCTTTCGTACAGCTCACCATTGCCAAGTGCACCGTCTTCACCAGATCTAGTGGCTTCTTTTGCCACCGCACCCCCGGAGTTCGTCATGAACTGGGCCAGTGACGCTGCCACCCTTCTCTCCAAGTTGCAATCGCTTCCCGTTCGTGGAACCCTGTTGAACTTTTGTCCAACGTGCGGCCACGAGCAGTCGTTGGAGCTTCCGATGGTTCACAGCCGCACATGCTCCCTCAAAGCGTTGCTGGCTCAAGTCGCACGTACACTGCTTGAACGACAACAGTTGTCGACGTTTTGACTTGTCTGGACTAGAACATTCGTGGCTGTCGGCCGTCGACGAGAGCGACCCACTGCCGCAGCACCACTCACTCGCATACATGGCACTCGACGCCACACCTGACTTGATGTCGCTTGCCGACTGGTCATTGCCACAAGAGTTGAGTTTGATGAGCCTTGAAGACGACGACTCGATCATCAACATCCTCGACGCCGCCATCGCAACACCACCTCCCGAGTAGATAGCAGCCAAGACCACAACGAGGATGTTTCTATTTTATCGTGATAGTTGAATCGACTGCCGTGTGTTGATCCCGAGCAGGAAGTCCTTCAATGTGTACATGATGGAGCTGAAGCCGTCGCATCGGACCGACGCCGACCCTCGAGCCATGAGGTGTCGCGTCACAAAGAGAAGTCGATTGAGCCAGTTTTGAAGTCCTAGGATTCGAGTTGGACGAAGAGAATTGGATGCGACCAGACCTGTTTTTCTGCAGCGAACAAGCAGGTCTTTCCCCCCAGGTACCAAGTGCACCAAAACGTTTGGCCATCGCTTTGGAAAAGGATGTGACACGAAAAAGGTGAGCATGCACGAGCAAAATTCACAGGATTGGTGGCGGTGGGCATCGAGAATACAAGCAAGCAGGGCCAAGCGGAAGGTCCGACAGTCGGAATATCGATGTTGGACTTGGAAATGCGGTTGTCTCGATGCATTGTGACCAATGTCCGACCCTGTCAGGTACACGTCGAGCGAGTACACAACCGTGGATCGACCTGGTGCATCGTCGCATCGAACGATCTTATGTGTTTCGATATGAATATGCTCGATGTCGTTGAGCGCCACGGCATACTTGGACCAGAGAGTCGTCACACGGTCAATGACGGAGCTTCGCTCCGTCGACACGAGGGACCGGGACACTGATCTGCAATTGGACAACAAGCTGCATTCCAGATCTTGCCATGCGGCGTCATAACTGCTCAAGCACTGATGGTGATCTGTTGCGTAGCTGTCGATTTCATGTGCATCGTCCATCGCGGCCCGTCCGCGCTGTTTAGCGTGGAAAGGTTGCGCGGGAATTGGATACCGTTAGTCAACATATCTGTATTCGCTCCAAAAAACTGGGCAACCAAGAACATGTAGATATATTGAGCGAAAGTTATCCAACAGAACCAGCTGGAACGATAGAATCGCGGCCGAAGATCCAAGCGCTTGGGCCATGCAGGAGTGTATCCACGGCGAATATGGTTCCAGAATGGGTCCGAGCACATCGATCCCGCCGCACGAACCCGCGCTGCCGATGCACCGGCCAGTCGCTGGATACACTAGCGGGCAATGCATGAGCATCTCATTGGTTCATTTAGTTCTCATGGGACGCCTGGATTATCGTCCATCCACCGAACAGTCTGCGCATCAGGGCAGCCGCACCAGACCGAATTGGAATGGGAGGAAGCACTGCAACCAGGAGTCGCAAGTGGTCTGCTGAGGGGGGAGAACGAGATGCTCTCCGAATGTCAACCGCAGATCTCGCGAACGACGTGGTGGACGCAGGAGCCAGCCGATGGCGACATCGCACGACGCGCAATTGGCTTAGAATAGTACCATAACCCAGATAATTCAACCATTTCATATTCTGCATCAAACTGACTTCTTTCGTCCGTCAGATTTTTTATAAATGAATTCACATCATAGTAATATATTCACGAGAGGACCGAACGTCAATTAATTCGTGGCACTTGGGGAATTGATTTGAACATGACTTGATATATGGAATATTCCCAAATGTCAATCGTTCCAGTGGGTGAACGAATGAGCCGCCGGGCAAGGTGGTAGCGCACTGCTCTTAACCAATCTCGACGAACTCAAGCATGGTCCAGCAACGGAACGTCAGCTACTCTCAGGGCAAGGCAGTGGTCACAAATGCGCGGCAGCAGCACCTTCACAGCTGCTCTTACGTCCCAAAGGATCCCTTGGCAGTCGTAGTGTTCCTACCTGGTCTCGATGAAAGCTGCCAGAGGTATGAGGGGTTGTTCAAGTACTTGGCAGCGCAGCAGATTGCGGTGTTTGCGTTGGAGCAAAGTCCGTTGGCGATGAAGGCGGTGGCAGGCGCGTCAGAATCCACGACCATGTACAAGCACCCGAACCCGGAAGTAAACTTTCAAAAGCAAGCATCCAACGTATCGTTGTTCCCGGCACCTGGCGCATGCGGGATCACGCAGTACGTAGAAGATGTGCACCAGTTTGCACTCGGTGTGGCGCAGCGTATTGGCGACCATCAAATCAACTATTTCTTGTGCGGAGCGTACTACGGAGGACTGATGGCGGCACACACTGGCATCCTGTCCGACTTTCCTTGGAAAGGCATCATTGTCACGGCGCCCGACATGATTCCGCCCATGAGCATCCTGACGTCCATCACAACAACCATCACAAGCCAGTGGCGCTCATTCGTGCCCACGTTGCGGCCCACGTTTGCCTCGTTGCGAGACAAGTACTTGCCGCGGTCCAAAAGTCAAGGGGGCAACGACTTCACCGACACGACCGAGCAAACCTTCACCGAGGACGAGAACAAGAGTGAAGCGTCCGACCCGACAGACGAAGCATTCAAGGAACTCAATTTCGCAAAGCACTCGTTGCACGTTCCGTTGCTGATCTTGAACGGGACGCTCGACGGTCGGAAGCCGACGGTGGACATGCACAACTTTTTTCTTGGCCTCACGTGCGCGAAGAAGGATATCCTGAATTTCAAGGAACTGTACCACAGCATGGGCAGTAACGAGGGAAACCCTGACGTGAACGCAGCGATCCTGAAATGGATCCACACCTTCCAAGCCGAATGAACCTACCAATCGATCGTCGAAACAAATGTTTAGTCGTCGGTTGCGCATCTAAAGTGGACATGGACCCGCCATGGCCATTCCAACTTGTACCCCCATGCATGACAAAGGTTGGAAACAGTGCAGCAGAGGTGCATATACTACTCGCAGTCGAGCGAATGGTTTGCCCACTGGATGGGTCGCCCCATTCTAGGATGCATATTCGACACATTTTCGTGCGATCGTTTCTATCGGTTGGGGTGTTTATAACTACGTGTCAACGACGGGCAACGTCGTTTGGAATGCATGATGGTACTGCGCCAGCGTCTTTTGCTGTGCGAACGTAAGGGGATTATTGTCGCTCAAGGCCACGTCAAAGTGGCGATGGTCATGCGACCCGATGGCCAGGGCATAGGTTATGTCATGGCCGACGTAGGCAGCGAAAGGAGAGTCAGGGGCAAAGGTGCTCGAATTCGACACGTCATAGCGTTGGCCGCTGAAGACGATCCAGCGATTGCAAACTTGCGGGGAGCTGGGGCGTTGGGAGCGCACGGATCGTCGTTTCCGTGTGCCAAAGCCCAACGGACAGGTTGGCGATGTTGCGGCATGTTCAGTCGACGAATTCAGAACCTCGCACCGAAGCAAGTCCCACCGTGGCTCACGATACAGGTCGGACAATTGACCCACAATTGGAAACTTGGACACGAAGATTGTCAGCCAAGAATGGAGCACCGAACGCTCTGTATCTGTGAAAGGCCCTTCGATGTCGGAGTCAAGGGACAACGAGGCAAGATCTGCATCAGCATTCGTTTGTCCACTGCACAGACATCCACTGAAAGCGACCGTGGCATCATGGCCACCAATGGGGCCGTACACGCCATCATGACCAAGGAGTCCTTCTTCGTCAATGGAGAACACGATACCACAAAGAGACACCCACTTTGGTTGTGCATTGAGCTCGCGCAAGGATATTTTCTTCTCGTGCTTTTTAGCAGATGCTCTTCTGGACGCCCGTATCATGAACAGCGACACAGCGCCGACGACGGCTGCGCTCGCCATCATCTTTGCCCAAGGCATAACGTAAAGCGCTACTTTTGAGAGGAACGGTGGGTGACACCAGCCTGAAAAATCCAAATCTCAGCTGTATGAATTGTGCCCCGTAACGGACGATACAACAGTGGTATCGAATTTCATGTGAATCATGATATGATAAAATATGATTTTTCATGCACCCAATCACATTGATTTCTGTGTGACATTGTATGAAGAAACAACTAGCTAAACAAAGTATAATGCACTGCTTAGGTTTTGTGAGAATCTGGTATTCAATGTCAAACGTAGATTATGCAGTTTGAGAAGATTATTTACTTTCGAAGGTTGCTCAACCGAATTTATCCCCTTCCATTTTGCAAAACATTGTGGTTGGGAGAGTATGACCGCAACCAACCAATGTACGCTGCACGATGCAAAACCTCAACATCTTTGCTCCATCCAGGACCTCTTGGACTGCCGATTCGACGTCGTCTCTCGCGAATCTGCCTCTTGGGCGAGGAGCCAGGTCCAGCGTGAATGTGACATTCAATCGTATCATTATGAACGGTCCTGCCTTCAATTTTGCTGCAATTTAATTAATTGGCTACTTGTCTTTCCTCACTGTCAATAATTTCGCAACCAATGCAATGAAACATCATGGCTCCTGATTGGCCGAAACCATCATTATCCGGACGTATCCGGTGTGTCACTACACTCCACTTGAATTCTGGAATGCTGCGGCAGCTGTACAACATCGTGTTCACGGGCGGCTTTACGCGCGTAAGCAACGTGCATGCTCGACTCGCTGAGAAGTTCTCTGTCCCCGCGGTGGACCAACTTATGCTTGACGGCGTCATTCGACCCAAAAACACAAGCCGGGCGATGTGTATTCTCACCACAGCTTGTGTGCCAGACACACCAATCGACCTGCGCGACTTTCAATCAGGGGCGAAGCATGCGCTGCAACACACGTTGGCTCACGTATTTAGCCCTGCGATGGTCGACTTTGCAGTGAATCAGTCGGACGAAGCCGTCACCGCCGACACATACTTGCAGGACACGTGCACGAGTCGTCTCCATCCAAAGTTGATTGCATTTTGTGCCAACATAGCCAAGAAGAACGAGGGCTTGGTCACTCCAGGACCAATCCACGAGCTTGCCATCGTCGATGGTGAGTTCAACGTAGACGTTGACGACAATTCCGAATACGTCGCATTGACGGTGGCGTGCAATCTCCCGTACAAGAATGAACCATACGAAAAGGAAGGCAACACGGTCGAGTTGGAACAACGCATCGTTGCTGCGTCAGATGCTGCCGACAGTGCCAGCGGCGTGACTGTGGAAGGACCAAAGCAAGATGATCAAGCATCCACGGCTACCCCGGGTGGCGGAACACCGGTCGATGCAGCGACCGATGCCACCGGTAAGCTCTTTGTGTTTGCTACATTTCGATCGGATGCTGGCGGGGACCTGGACTGGCGATTGCAAGACCTGAGAATCACCGGCGTAAAACCACTCCAGCAAAAGGCGTAGCGCTGTCAATTCGTAGCATCGCAGGCCTGTACCAGTAAAATTCGCCAACGTAATCGAGAAAACACTTGAAGCAATCTCAACCTCTGTCCGTTATCAAACCCTCCGTCGACCCGCCAACGGGCCAGACCATACACGAGCGCCCATGTCGATGCTCTCGGCTCTAATTCGCGAGCGATCGAGCGAGACTGTTGATGCTCGTCGTTATGCCAAGAAGTCGAAGATTGCCTTCTCGATGCCTGTTGGAAGTTCGAGGTGGAGCTCGTCCAGCGTGAAATTCAAGAGCTCTTCCATGTACACACGGAAGGTCGTGGAGCAATACTCTAAGCATGGACACGGTTCAGTTCTTGGCATTTTTGAGAGCCTAGTTTCACCCACCGTCCAGTTCGTGCAGCGCATCCAACCGCTTCCAGTCGCTTGCAACGTCCTTGGGGATTCGATGGTGCTACAACGTTGACGTCGTCAGTGGCACGCGTTTCGTCCAGTGGATATAGCACTTCGTCCTCAATGTATGGGTCTGCTTTGTACTCCAACAGTAGTTTCACCAACGCGGGGTCACCATGCTGGCATGCGCAGTGCAAGGGGACTTGACCCTACTCCTCCACGTGACCCTCCAAGCTCCTGCCATAACGAGCCCGTACGTTGTCGTCGCTAGCGTCTACCTCCGACCCTAGCCGCAGCAGCATTTGGACCGCCCGCCGCCTTCCCCACGTGCACGCTGCATGAAGTGCTGTTTGGCCCTACTCGCATGCACCACCACTTGAGCAATTTCCTTTGATCGGGCTGACCAGACCCCCTTTTGCTTGGCGTGAATGTTGGCGCCATGTTTGACCAGCAAAGCCATCGTGTCCATGCATTGGTTCTGGGCAGCCACGCACAATGCACGCTGGCCGTCCGAGTCTGCGTGATTGATATCATGGCCTTTGTCGATCCTAACTTACAGTGTTGTGTTAGCGACGTTGCCTTGGTGCCTGAATTGCCGAGTGTTACCAGCGCTGCACGACGGTGGTTTGGTCGAGTGATGCGGCATGAACAAACGCGTCGTGCGTCGACATGCGGTGGGCATCGCGCGCTGCCGACCTCGACAAGCTCACGCTTTCGTCATGTGCTTCCTTGGCAAGCTCCTGCCAGTGTTGGAGCATCGACGCTTTTGAGCAATGCACTCAATCCATGGATGGCTCGCTCACCTGGGATATTTCATGGGCGACGTCCACCACAGTGACGACGGTTGTCATGAACGAATGGACATGGCAATAACACCGGTAAGTTCCAGGAGTTGGGAATGTCTGGGAGAACTGTTGACCGTATTGCAGTTGCGGCGACTCGACCTCCCCATTCTCGCTACCACGTGTTGTTTCATGGAAGCTGTGGCGGAGTATAGGCACCTGTTGATGGTATGCAGCTGTGCTAGCGGGTTCGCATGCGTCCACGTGACGGATCCGCCTTTGCAAAGAGTTACTTGGGACGGCACGAAGGAGAACGCGACGATCTGGACCGCGGCAGCACTTGGTGGAGGCATGTGGAACACAAACACATCGAATAAAACGGACGCCGTTACATCGACGCGTCCGCGAAGAAGTACATGAAGTTACTGAAGAACTCGATGAGTTGTGTCTTGGAGAAGCGGCCGCTGCCGTCGTTGTCGACTTCATTTAAGATGGTGACGAGACCGTCGTCGGTCAAGTTTCCAGGGATGCCCAGCTCTCGCAGTGTAGTATCAATGAATAGCTTGGCTTCGTCCTTGTTCAAGAAGCCTTGGTTCGTTTTGTCAATTGCATTCCACATCTCATCCATCGCTGCGTGCTGGTCGGCGTCGGCCATGATTGTCGGGCGATCGCGGCTTGCCTGGACACAAGTGGGTCGTTGGATTGGTCAATTATGGTCACTTATTGACCAATCAAACATCACAATTTTATCCGGACTCTAGAACAAACAGCGGTTGTTAAGCGCCACGAAAAACCCAATCGCTCGACCAAGACGCAGGGGATGGTGGGGTCTCCTCGGCCGCAGCAGCAGCAGGCGCGGGGGATTGAGATGGACGACGTGAACCGTGGCTTTGGTGTTCGAAGTGGTGACCGTGGTGACCGCGATGTTCATGGTGGCGGTGGGAAGGTTAGACAGTATCCAAAGCATAGAGCCCAGCACATGGCTTCCGCAGCGCCGTATCATGAGAGCCCGCGAACATCATCAAACGGAGGTTGGCCCCAACATCACGACGACGGGGGACGATATCAACCTGACGATGGACGATATCAACCCAACGCAATGGCTCCAATGGCTGTAGATAGGTCGGCCGGGCTCCCGCGGGAAAGCGGTCGCCGCGTGTATGTGGGGAACTTGTCGTGGGAAGTCAAGTGGATGCATTTGAAGGATCATATGCGACGAGCTGGGGAAGTGGATCAGTGCGACGTCTTGATGGAACCGAGTGGTCGATCCAAGGTATCTCCCATCTCGATACCTCCCATCTCGACTCGTTTGTCATCTCATATCGTGTCGTGTGACGTTTTCGCTGTGTGGCAGGGATGCGGCTTGGTCACCTACCGCACGGTGGAGATGGCGAGAGAGGCCATTCGGACGTTGACGGATACGGAGCTCATGGGACGCAAAATCTTTGTGCGGGAAGACCGGGAGGAAGGTGCGATGGGACTGCCGCCGTTTGCATCGTCTTCATTCAGCGGCGTTGGAGGGGGGTACCCTCATTCGCAAGGCGGTGGGCCTCCACCCTACTCTGGAGGAGGGCTGGCTGGACCTGTCACGACTTCGCGGGTGTATGTGAGCAATCTATCGTGGAGCGTCAAGTGGCAAGAGCTCAAGGACTTTATGAAGCAAGCAGGCAACGTTCTCCATGCCGATGGTAAACAACCCGGGAGTGAATCCATGCCTTATCGCATTGTTGGGACTGGGTTGTAGTCTTGGAAGATCCGTCGACGGGGCGGTCCAAAGGATGCGGTTTGGTGGAATTCGACTGCCCAGAAGCGGCCGAACGTGCAATTCGCATGTTCAACGATACGCAATTTGGAGACCGCAAGGTTTTCATTCGGGAAGACAGGGAATCTATGCGTCGGCCTGGTGGGACCCGTCCCCCTCCGTCGGGGTTCAATCGTGGACCTCCTCCGTCGCGCGACAGGGGTCCTCGCTTCGATGGCCCACCTCCTGGCCGTGGCTTCGATGGCCCACCTCCTGGCCGTGGCTTTGATATAGCTCCGCCGAGGGGCTACGACGCCCCGCCGACTCGAGGCTTTGATGCAGCCCCCCCTAGGGGATACGAATCTGGTCCATCGAGGGCAATGGACTCTGGACCTAACAGGGGCTACGACTCGGGTCCTTCCAGGGGATTTGATGTCGGCCCTCCAAGGGGGTTTGACGCCGGTCCTCCAAGAGGATATGATTCAGGTCCGTCGCGAAGCCACGACCAATTTAGCGCCCCTCTATTGCCATCTGGGCAACGCTACGACACCAATCCGGCCCCTCACGGCTACGACGCTTACGACGTTCCTAACCAAATGCCACCACCTCAGCACTTCGATAGCAACCCATTGCCCGACGCCTACGATCCCTACGACCCGTCTCCATCCCGAGGAGGCCATGCGCCATACAACCCACCTCCAAGTGGTAGTGGGCGGTCGTCTGCCTACGACCCGCCTCACTCCGGTCGCAGCTTCGATTCTCGATCGTCATATCCGACCGCATCATCGTCGTCGCAAGCGCCTCCTCCCGTTGTGCCCACGTCCAAGTTGTTTGTGGGAAATGTACGCAGATTTGCTAATAGTGGCCCTCATGCAAATTGTGGTCGGCACAGGTTCCATTCGATGCGTCTTGGCAAGACATGAAGGACTTGCTGCGGTCCGTGGCCAGCATCGACCACGTTGAGCTACCTTCGGCCCCCGACGGTCGCCCCAAGGGATATGCATTGGTGCACTGTTCGTCAATTTCCGACGCCCAGACCGCCATTGGTACGTTGCCATGCATATTCAACGTGATGGTCTCGACTTACTGGTCCTTAGCGCGTCTGCACAACACGGAGTTTAAAGGACGGTTCTTGGAAGTTCGCATGGATCGACCGCCTCGATTTGGCTAGGTGATGTCGTCGGCCAGCAAGATATTTTCGAGCATCGCGCGGAATTGTTTGCGGGCCTACAAGAGCAGCGAGACGGCAGTTGATATTTTGACAATGAGTGACAAGTTTGCTTCTGACCAAATGCCCCCGGACGAGAGTTTGCAAGTGGAGACGCGCTGTGTTCATGTTGGGCTGGCTCTTGCCCTCAGGGATGGAATTTGCTTTCTCGGCAGGATTCGTCGGGTTGGAGGCTGAGTCGGGGGAGGTGAATGGTGCCAAGCAGCTCGTTTCGGTACTTGTGGCCAAGTATACGACTGGGATACTCGGGGGAAGCAAGTCGACGGAACCGATTCCAGACGACTGATCCAGCTCCATGTGATGTCGCCGTGGGCTTGAATCTGTTCGGGGTTGGGTCGAAACAATGGGAGGGGTAGTTGTCGCATGTAGAACTTGACGGGGAATGGATGGGAGGGGATGGACAGGTGCTCTCTCGTCCACGTCAGAATTGACTGACTTATCTTGGGCAGCTTTCGGAGGGCTTTGCGACTTGACGATCTTTACATTCACCATGCCTGCTGCAGCGACAGCATGGTCTAGCTCATTCTTGAGTCCTACTGACCGAAGTCAGGGCGACTGTGATGGGGTGGATTGTCCAAGTACGTTTATTGCATTGCCGCAAATGGGCTCTGTCGTTGAGCAGCCATCTGCTTTGTCCAGTGAATGGACGCACCAACGCAGCTTGATATGTCTTACAGCATTAACTTTTGCCCCATCACGAGCAATTCACTGCTATGATCCTGGACAAGTTGGTCAGAGGGGCATTGCCGATGTGTGCAGAGCAGTACCAGTGTCGCGTCTCCAGTTGCGTCGATGCCAACAAATGTGTTAGCATGTTGCTAGGTCCACTTCATCACCTTTCTCTACGTGATAAACAAGTCATACCAAGATGGCGCTTGGAGTTGCTTCACTCAGATCGAGCGCCAGGAAGCTGTCCATGGTACAAATGACGCACGCGGGGAGCGCCGACAACGGTTTGCAGTTACAACGCACATACAAGGCAAAGATTATAAAAAAAACTTGTTCAAGACTTTTTTTTCGAAGCTGTGTACACTATTTACAGTTCATAGTCACTAACAAATAAATTGCGGTAGGCGGTAGGAGACATGTGTATTTCCTGCTATATATATACTAGTACCGGTATATATATTTCTGGAGCGACGAATTCATGTTACGAAAACGAGAGATGATACAATGCATTTTCAGCCAATCAGACGATTGCACTAGAGTGTTGAAATCTTTGTGAGAGGAATCGTCAAGAGGATTCAGGCTTGAGATGATCTACGTGTTGGCGTTCGCTGGATCATTGCTCCTCCAACAACTTGTGGCTTCAGCGTCAACGACATCCAAAGTCCGACGTGAGATCTTTGCGCTTGATGGTAATGGACAACCAGTGGCGTGGTGGGTAGTCCTCAAACTGCCGTGGCAAGTCCGCGATGCACAGGGCCAGTACATTCCAACGCCGTGTGACTGCGAGAAACCGCAATGTTCCAACGTGAAAATGGACGCCCCCGAGGAGCGGAAACATGGTCTTTGTTATCTATATGCCGACGCGAACAACCCGACATTGCGCCACTTTCGTGATGTCGGATACGATTGCCTAGGCCAGGGGGGCAACGACCCAGTCAGTCACACGTTGCGCCAAGCAAGAAATGCCACATATTGGGCCATTTTCAATGACCAGTTCAACGGGATCGCTGAGAAACTGGACAAGACGCGAGTGTGTTCAGGAGGTGACTTGTTCAACGCCCATGCGAAAGGAGCTGTTGCGTTCGAGCCAAGCACGGGAGGGTATGTGCTGCAAACGTCGACGCCAAACTTTCCAGATCCCACGACTGCCACGTCAGATATTGGCGATGACTTCGTTCGTTTGGGGTGCCAACACGATAACAATGTCGAGTATGCGCAACACTTGTTCGGCATGTCGCTCGCCGAAGGCGCCATCAAGATCATGGGGCAGGGCTGGCAGGCGGCCCGCCTTTGCTCGGCGAATCACTATCGCGACATGCACGAGCTTTTGGCCAGTGACGCATTGCGCCACGCCGACTTAAGGCACCACCCAGTGGCCACTGCGTTGGTCGATTCAAACGCAGCCAACCGTCCGACGACCAACGTCTCGGTAATGACCAAAATCGGATCCGTGCGAATTCGAGGGCTGTTCAAAGACAAGGGATCAGCAGTGCCACCGTGGGCGATGGCCGCGAAGGGGTTTGGGACCGACTTGAGTGTGGCGTCTTGGTGGGACGAAAATTACGGCATCCCCAGTCTTTGCGATGGCGATGTATATGGAGTTGCTCGTGGCGCGTTTTGTTTGACGAACAACCCCCTTTCCCTCCGACCGGACGGCACGTTCCCATTTAACGTTGAAAACCTCATGGATGCAGAGTGAGGACTCTAATTGTCGTGCTCGCGCGAAGTATGGACTTATCATTGGATGTAGGATCGTGTGGCACGGTCCACATGGCGACGCAAAACTAACTTGGTCGTTGCGAGGTGGCCGCGTGCGAGACGGCAACCATGGTACGCCATCATGAAAGCATGACGTCATGTCCAACCTGGCAACGGAATGACGTAGCAAAGTGGGCAGTTGCATCGCCTCGGAGTACCACAAACGCGACATCTCCAGCGCTTTCGATATTCGCCGACTTGAACATGGAAGGCTTTCCATGCTCGAAATCGTGCAATGGGTCCCAAGGAGGACGAGGTGGATCATTCTACGCCATCGAAGACCCTGTCCTTCATTCGAGCTTGGTTGGGATGGTGTCGGGTGTATGTAAATGTCTCCCATCCACTCGACAAGACGACTCATTCGTCACGTTTCGCATGTGCGACAACGGGTGCAAGCACAAGGTGGAAGAGTACTTTGTCAAGAGCGACCTCCCTGCTCTGTCAAATGCAACATCGTCGTTCTGGAGCCGCCAGCATGGCCTCCGACCCATCGCTATCGACAATACCCCACTAGCACTGTCGTGAGGATTATTCCACAGAAAATCCCTCAAATAATTTCGTTTCAATGGCATTATTATCCGGATATCCGGATATTTAGATGAGCGCCACTTTCCCCAGCGACCACAACGCGCGACAAGCGATGGACATTATCGTGGACCGTGTGCGCAAGGAGCTGTCGCAAAAGTATGGACACATGATGGTGCAGTGGTATGAGGCGGTTGACTGGCAGGAGCCTTTGATTCTCGGGCTCATCTCGTTTCACGTCCTCCTCTTCATGGCAATCCTGGTTCTTCGCCACGTGTACATCGTCCAAGTCGTCTTGTTTCTATTCATTTGTGGCACGATTTTCCTCAGCGAACGCCTGAATTCGCTCGGCCGCGTGTATTGGCAATCTTTTGCTTCGCAGAACTACTTTGACGTGAATGGCGTGTTCATGGGCATCTTCGTTGCAGGGCCGCTCCTTGCGATCGGGTTTGTTCAGCTGGCGAGCAACTTGTACAACATGGCCCACATGGTCGTCGCTATCAAACGCCATGAGCTCAAGACGTCACAACATAAGAAACCAGCTAAGAAGGACAATTGAAGCCGTTTTCAAGAATTCATAGTTGAGTCGTGTATTTACTAGTCCATTGCTCATCAATGCATGCGAACATGCTCTATGGGGAGAGTCGACTCCTCAATGCAAATCTCGAACGGGGAATTCCTTTTCCCACAACACGTGCGTGAAGTCATACAAGCCCTTGGTCACCTACGTCAGTCGCACCAACGTTGTGTCAGCACGGAAGTGGTAAAGTCGAAAACCCACCGAAACTTTGTAAGGCGTGGCGTTGAGAGGACGCATGATGTCTTCGCGCATGGTCGCGACTTGTTCCTTGACGTAGTTTCGAATCTCCTCCAAGGATGGAAGGTCGCCGACGATTCCACCATTTTCACCATCCCACACAAGGCTGTGCAGAGGCACAACCGACGACGGTGTTACATTTACACGCACCATCTCGTCGAAAGGGTGACGGCACAGCATCTTGACACCCGGCACCGGGTCAGCTTCTTCGCAACCCATCAAAATGTCCAAAATCGGCGAGCCGTTCGCGCCCTTCAAACGGAATGCCTTCTTGCGGCCAGGAATGGTCACTTTGCTCGGTTCTTGCGACAACTTGATGCGTGGTTGACCAGCAATTTGTACAAGCTTGTACACCATGCCCAGCGCCGGTTGCGCCTGACACGTCACCAAGTGCGTCCCGATGCCGAAGCTGTCGATTTCGTGGCCCTAAATCATTCCGTTGTGAAATGAGACCATGACAACGAGCGAGGGCGAGTGGTACCTGTTCATTCAACGAGTTCAGGACTGCTTCGTTGATGTCATTGCTCGCGACAATCGATAGCGTCTTGAACGACTCAACGTTGAAGGCTTCGGCAGTCTTGACAAACATTCGACGAGCTTCCTTGGACAGGTACGCCAAGTCACCACTGTCGAGGCGAATGCCCATGGGCTACAAATTTGCGATCAACATCGTCCAAACACATAAGGAGGCAACGACGAACTTTGTAGCCGAGCTCGTTCAGCGCCAGCGCGACGCACAAAAAGTTGGGAACTCCAGACTACTAGAATATGAGATTCCCAGCAACAAGGGAATTCGTGTACCGCCAACGTGTCGTATGTGTCGACGAGGCCCAAGAAGGTATGAGGGAACGCCACGGCATACGAAATGAACCCGGCCAATTCACCCTGGACTATGATGAATTTGGAATCGGACGATGGCAATTCGTACGTCATTTGTGTCCAGATAGCCCAACTTGGCGCGGTACGCCAACGTCAATTCCTTCAAGTTGTCGTTGCCAATATGGGTTACTTTGACGTCGTCCAAGTCACGATGGGCTTGGACGAATGCGTGGGCGTGCGTGCCTTTAATAGGAATACCGAAGAGCTTGCCCGCCAACACGTTGCTTGTGCCGTGGAAACCCGCCATGTACGAGTAGCGAGATGCAGAAATACCACCATCGGGACCTTGAGCACGGCGCAATCCGAATTCAAGCAATGTCTTGCCCTTCCCAGCGGCCTTGATGAAGCGAGTCGCATTGGTCGCCATCAAACTCGCATAGTTCAACAAGTTGAGCAGCCCTGTTTCGAGCAGTTGGGTGATACCCAAGTGACCTTCCACCCGCAACACAGGTATGCGCGGGAACGCGATCGTGCCTTCTTTTAGGGCGTGCACCTACAACACAAAAAAGGCCTGTCGCAATCGAGGTCGCGTATCAAGTCCAACGGCACCTTGACATGGGTGCAATCCAGCGTACGCAACCATTCGAAGAATCCATTTTCAGTAGTGGACGGCAGTACGCTTTGCAAGTATTCGATGTCGCAGTCAGTGAATTTGAACGAGTTCAAGAACCCAAGAACCTGCAAGGTGTGTCGGTACGGCCGTCGTTGTCGGGTGTTCGTGATAGGGAGGAATCAGTACCTCTTCCAAGCCAGCAAAGACGGTGAATTCACCTTTGAACGGGTTCTTTCGGAAAAACAGGTCGAAAACCGCCTGCTCTTCATGGCGACCCACCTTCCAGTATGCATATGCCCTATCCTTCGAGATCAACAACGAGTTTATAAGCGGTCACAACGTACGTACATCGTGATCTGGTACAAGTCTGTGAGCAGTGGGGTCACCAGTGCGTTCGTCGGGCGCGCATCCGAGTGGTTCATCTTGTGGTTTGCCATCGCGAGGAAAGGGGGACTTCGACGACGTCGGCGGATTTGAGAATGGCACGGTCGCCAAGGATGGTGTCACATACAACGTACAAACGACATTGTATATTGTACATTCCATACATTGAATATCACTATCAAGCTGTGTGTTCTAATCGAACAAGGATCGTACATTCAAAGGATGTACGTGTACTTTGTCACACAGCAAGGTTTTTCCCAGGAGTACTTCCCCCTCCCCAATTCCATGAAACATGATGACGCGTTGACGTGACACCGAACATGAAAGCCCACATGGCCAGCTACTCTCCGAGGAACAGGGCGACCCCGCCGATGATCCAGCGGGACGGGTCACCCGACACTGGCAATGAGATCTCCACGAGCATGCGCTCTCGCGACGTCGAGTAGTACAGAGGTACCTTGATGAACGTGTCCTTGGCGTACGGCTCTCGTTCTTCTTCTCGCGTGTACGCAACGTAGCACGTCGGGACCGATATGAGTTCTTGGCCGTCGGATGTGGGTTCTTGCAACGTGCCACCTTCAAAGGACGCGCCTTGCAGCAGCATGCCGCCGATGGCAAACCACTCTGTCGTCCCTGACGTCGTTTTGTCCTTCTCCCAGCACGACATGAGCTTCATCCCGTCCATCGAGCACTTGAGTGCTCGCGCAGCTTGTTGGCGCAATGCATTCAAGAATGTCCCTGGTTGCAATACGTCGGAGAGATCGAGGGGCCGGCTAAGCAACGTGCCTTTCGCGCAGTCCTCTTTCCATTCGTTGAGCGCGCGTTTCCGTAACGCGAGTGACCGCAACCACACTTGGACGACTTCGCTCGCCTCCCATCGATTGCTCCACTCCGATGGAACTTGGCCGACGAGCAGTGCCGCTGCGATGGTCTGGATGGCGGGGGTGAGGAGGCCAGTACCGTAGATGACCTTCTTCAGGCTTTGCAGGCTCTGGTTGACCGTCCACGCCAAGTCAGTCGCGGCAGCATTCTCCATCGCGACAAACGCTTCCACAGGGGTCAGCACCTTGTCCTTGGGTATTCCACCCGACGTCGACGCGGGATGATCCAAGTTGAAGCTCGACGTGAGTTTGCCCCAATTTTCAATCAACGGACCAAGGAGCACACGCCACTTTTCTCGATCGAACTTGCTGCTGGCCTGCTCGCTGCTCGTCAGCGTCCGAAGCTGCGCGATAACCGCGGACGATGCCGTGCGCTGGACGGACCGCTCGATGTTGTCGGGCAAGCCAAACGTGCGCGGAGGGTCGTGATCGGGGAGATGGTCAATGACAGCGGTGAAGTCGTCTCGCTGGTCAGTCGACGGCATCTTGACGCCTTTGCACAGCGACGTTTTACCGTTCAGCACATCGTGAGCAAAATACATTTGAAGGTAACACCGAAGAACGCGCAGGTCGTACGGGTTGTCGATGCGTCCGCCGTAGATGGCGTTCTCCATAAGCCCATGGATCGTGTCCCAGTCCATGTCTTTCGCCTGGCTCAAGCTCTCCATGACATTCAAGCCGGCGCGCAAATCCCCAAAACTAAACTCATAAAACTTGGTCCACCCCTGCGGCATGTACGTTCGGCGTTCCTGAAGCAACGAGTGAAAGAACGCCAGCAAGAAGAGCAACTGCATGCGCTGTGGCGTCGTGGGGCCATCGATTTGAAACGTAGCATAGGTGCGCTGAAGGTTCTTTTTGAGCCCAGGCGGCGACTCGAACGTGACTTTGAGGCTCTGCTCGAGGAGAATGAGCGGGAATGCGTCGTGGCTTTCAGTCGTGCACCATAGCCTGAACTTGCGATGCGGTGTGAGGCCGTTCAGTTCCTTCTCCAGCACGACCAGCCACGCCACGACCAAATGCAAGTTCTGAAGGCACAGCCACTCGCCGTTGTCAGCCGTGGACCGCAGCAGCGCCAGCGCTTTTTCTTGCTGGCCGCCGCCCATGGCAACTTCAAAGTAGTGATCGCGCCCAACGATTTCCGTCGCGACTTCCTCGAGTTCTTTGGACGGATCGGCGCCAGCCGTCGTGATGAGGAGGACGGGCGTCACATTCGACGCTTCCGTCATGCAGAGGTCCTTGAGGTCCAACGACGGAGGCGTGAGTGTCTTGACTTTCAAGATGGTGCAAATGAAGGCGTGGATCGCGCTTTGCAGGCGGTCAGGGCGCAGCGCTTGCACGAGGAGTACGCGTTGGAAAGCACTCAGGACCTTGTCAACCTTTTGGTGGTACGCAACTTCGCAATCGATTGCTTTGGACCACCGCAACCACACATCCGACGAGTCAAACTTCAACTGCGACGCGAGTTTCGGAAAAGTGTCGACAAACAAGGTGTAGCTATCGCGGCGGTCGGGCGCGACCCAATCTGGCAAGGCAGACTCTTTCTTGATGTCGGAGAGCAAGTCGCCAACGAAAAACTCCCACTCGTTGTCTTCAAACGCGTCGGGGTGCATGCCATGAATCAAATGCAAACCGAACATGGGGCGGTGCTCCTTGAACAACGATCGACCGACAAACATGAGCACTTTTGTCTCGAGCATTGGCGACAGCCGCATGATGCGGTCTTTCACGTTGCTCACGTCCATCTTGGCCGTCAACGTCGCGCGGAACAGCGCGATGAAACTCGCGAGCGAAAACCGATACATGTGGTTGACGCTGTGCAGCGCTTTGACGAGGAAGAAAAGTCGCGCGCCGTCCCGTGCAAAAGGAGCGTAGATCGCTCGCTGCTCGTCGAGCTCTTCGCTCTTGACCGCCGACTTTTTCAAAGCGCTCTCGATGTCGGCACTCGTCGCCTTGGTTCGCGTCAAGCTCTCGATCAACGTCGTGTTGTCGAGGATATCGCCTTCGGACGTCGCCAGCGCCTCCAGCAACTGCTTCTCCAGTGCGGCCAGCTGGACTTTGAACTCTTCTTCGCTGCGGAGGAGCTCACTCTTTTGCGCTTCGAGCTCAGGCTGCTCGTTTTGAATCGTCACTCCGAGCAACTGCCCTTCCAACCCCGACTTCGTCACGGTAAAGTTCACCACGTTCACGATTGCGCGCGCGTCTGGAGGAAGCTCCGGATCAGGATTCCGAGTCACGAGCACCATGCGAAAGTTGTCGTTGTAGTCGATATCTTTGTCGCCCAAGTGGACGACAAACCGCGGGCCTTGGTGCGTCAAATCCCGGCGGATCAATGGAAACAAGTACGGCTCGACGTAGTCAACTTCGAGCACGACAAGGGTCTTCCCAAAACGCACAGCCTGCTCCACGAACGACACAAACCGAGGTTCTTGCGACTGCACCACAGACAGCGGTCGCGTAGTGTCCTTGGCGAGGTGGGCTTGGAGCCATCCAGTCGCGGCATTTGCCGGATCGATGATGAATGGGGTGCGATCGTTGGTGTAATGCACAACCAGGCCGTTCTCCATACTGAGGTTGTCGGCGGGAAGACCCATGCTCTTCCACGTCAACAGCTCTGATTCGGAGCTCATGAGCTTTCGGTACTCGAACGTTGTGGCCGAGTCCATGGCAGCATCCCATGTCTTGGACACGGCCATCCGCTTGGTTTCAGAGCACTGCCCGAGGAAAATCGTGAATCCAGACGCCATCAAGAGCTTCATCGGGAGCTCCACGACACGCGTTTCGAGCTCCTTGACCTGCGCGGACCACCGCGTTTGCTCGCCGCCGAGCTTTCCCAGCAACCCCTGGGCCTTTTGCAGCGTCGACTCGGCTCTTTCAAGGCCGACACGGAGAATTTCTGCTTCCTTGGTCTTTTCCCCAAAGAGATGTTTCATTTCGTCAACTTTGACGTCGATTGCCTTGAGCTCGCTTTCGCACGAGAGCAGACGCGCTTGGGACGCTTCCAGTGACCGCTTCGCTTCAGCCAGGTCGGCCTCGAGCGGCTCGATCTTGGCGATCACGATGCTGTACTTCATATTGGCTTTCACCCACGCCGCCAACGGGGCCGCCGCGACACTGACACGGTAGATGTTTTCGTGCTCGAACGACGCGGATTTTGCCTTGAGAAGTTTGGTCACAGCCTTGGAAATGTCGGGCGTGATGCGGCGTGTGTCGTAGTTCTGAATGTCTTCCTTCACGCCGCGATTCCCGAGGAATTTCTTCATCGAGTTCCACGACGTGTCTTGGATCCCGAGCAGCATGAGCACAGCGGACAAGACGTCGTGAATTGGCTCCGGTGGCATCTTGAGCGATCGGATTTCGTTGATGTTATCGCTCTTAATGTTCCCGACGGCCTGCTTGGCGGACTCGAGGACGGGCGTGATGTCGCTCAGCTCGTCTTCAATCTCTCGTTTCCGCGCATTCGTCGCTTCCTCTGCTTTGGCAAGTTGTTTCTTGAGGTCTTCGACTTCGCGGCGATTCCCCGACGCACGATCCAATGCGCGCTTAATTTCGTCCATCGCTTCGTCTGCACTCACTTGCGCGGCACTGAGCTCCTTTTTCTTGATCCCAGCCGATCGGCTCAAGTCGTCGACGGTCGTGCTGGCCTCGACGAGCTTGGACAGCCCACTCTTCAAGTGCTTCACTTCAGTCACGAGCTGCTTGGACTTCTCCGTATACAACACTTGCCACGTCTGGAGGAAGCTGATGAACTCGCGCGGCGTCGCGCCGTCGGCTTGAACGGATTCATAGATCAAGTGCACCATGTTGAGCAAATGCACCTTTTGTACTTCGTCGTGGAGGAGCTCGGACGACGTAAGGAGCATCTCGGGAATCTTCTTGAGACTCGCAGCGCTCCACGCTCCCATCCACACGATCGTGGCACGCGTGTACAGCGCCGGGTTGCTTTCGCATCGCCGGACAAACTGACCATGCCGCGAGTCCATCCCGAGCACGATGTGGAGGAAAGTTTGCACCCGTGCGACGAAGAACTCGTACACCGTGCGGTATGCAATCGTGGACTCCATCATTTTCTCCTTGAGCGGACCAAGGAGCGGCTCAAGCTCTTCGTGCGTGTACAGACCAGGGACTTCGCCGGCACTCAGGAGCGAGTTGGTCAGCTCCAGGATCGCGTCCTCGACGAAGTGGTGGTCTTCCAGGTACAACACAGTGTGCTGACCTTCGACGCCGGCACTGAGGAGCACCGTCTTGAGGTCGACCTTGAACTCCCCCGAGTTGTAGTTGCGCGTCAGGTTGGGCGTGAATAGCTTGTAGCCCAGCATGTGGGCAATCAAGGTCGTGGCAGTGCGGCGGCCGACGCCAGACTGGCCGATCAAGAGCATGGACCCACCGGCCTCGGACAGGACGCGGTCCACGATGGCGACGTGGTCGAGAATCTCGTCAAACAACAGCATGTGGAGCTCCTTTTCTTCCCGCTCGTACAAGACCATGCCTTGCGCGACAACATGGGAAAAGTCGTCCGTGGCCATCCGTCGCAAGGGCACAAGCGCGAGCTCGTCGTCCGGCCGCTTTTGTCCGAGTGACGTAAAGTACGCATCTTGCAGCTTGGCGTGGTGGCGCCATTGGGTTTTTAAGATCGTGTTGAGGGCCGAGTCGAACTTGGCTTTCGAGTCGGCGTCCACGAGGCGATCTCGAAAGAGGCGCCGCGCTTCGTACGCCAGCACATCGAGAACTTCTTCGCCGGACAAGTCGTACCGAAGCAAACCGAATGTCCACCGCGTCAAGTCGCGCGGCGTGAACAGGTAGTGCCGGTGGTCATCCACACTAAACTTGGATCGAATGCTTTCGTAGAGCTCGACCATGGACCGGGCGAGCTTTTCCCGATGGGGGGCTTCTTGTAGCGCACTCACAGCCTCGAGGAACGTCGAGTACACGGCAGTCAACTCGTCGCCCGTCGGGTAGTCCATGTATGCCACACGCACGATCGCAGTGAAACGAGTGGACAGGACGTGCCGGCCGACCGTCGTCGCAGCATTCATCGACGCGACAATCTGAATCCGCTCGATGCCCAAGAATTCAAGGTTTGGGTCGTAGAAGCCCTCGAACGTGATGAGCTGCTGTAAGAACGCTATCAGCATGCACGTGTCGTACTGGTCCGGCTTGGGCAAGTTAATGTCCTTGAGATAGAGCACGAGTCGGTCGCCGTCACGTGGTCGGTACACGCGGCCTTTGTTGGTCGAGAACAGCGAGCAGCTCTGTGCAATCTTGGCGATGACGTGGTCAGCTGTGGTTTGAGCATTGCAATGCAACACGCTAAAGCTGGCGCCCTTGACTGCCGAGAACGCTTGGCGAATTAACATGTTCTTCCCCGCGCCTTCTGGTCCGACCAAAATGAAAGGCGACATCCTGTCCACCCACGGCGCCACCGTGTGCAGGCCTCGTTGCATGCTGATCGTTTGAATCACAGACGTCGCGGTTACGGTCGGCGAGTTGCCGTCGTAAGTCGTGCGCTTCGTCTCGTAGGCTGTAAAGGTCGATCCCGAACAAAAGCAGTCGAGTGGAGCGCTTATGTCCGGCGGCCGTTCGTTGGAAAAGAGAAAGACAGACTTGGCAAACACGGCGCGATGGGCCAGTGACAAGTTGGCGCCAAGGCCTCGGATCAGCGCAACCACGAATTCGGACCGGGTCGTTGCCCCCGACACGTGGGAGAGTCCGTTCATGATGGTCCCGACCGTGGTCGTGGCTACCGTTTTGTCGAACTTGGCGATTTCGTCCATGGCTAGCACAAACAGTTCATCGATCCACTTGGACAAGTTTGCACTGTCCGGCTGCGTTTTCAGCCACTGGGTCACGAGCCGCTTCATGTCCATGTCCTACACACGATAGCACGATCAGGAGGTGTCGGTCGACGTGAATGCGTCCTTACTTCGTCCGACAGGAAGATCATGCCCATGCGGGAAATCGTCGCGGGCGAAGCAAAGCGCAGATCGTTCGTCTCAAAAATAAAGTTGACGTTCGGTCCAAAGTTGATGCGTTCGCCGTTGGGGAGCGTGAGCAAGTGGTTGTCGTCAAGGACAGAGTTGAGTGACTCGATCCACTCGGGATCGACGTCGCCGTCGCAAACGATCCACGACCGCGTTGTTTCAGGCTCCTTAACTACCTTTCGCGCCGCATCTGTCAGCACACCATCGTGCCACTCGCGCGTGTCGAGGTCCATGTGGCCCAAGAGGCGCTCGCGAGGCATCGACTTGGGATTCATCACGTACGTCTTGACCAACTGGCCGCACTGGACCATGGCCATTTGAAGGACCTGCCACACCGTGCTCTTTCCGCTTCCCGACGGACCCACGACGACGCATCCCATGCGCTGGTCCAAGCTTTCCTTGAGCTGGAGCATCTTGCGAATTTGAATGTCGTCCACTTGGCAGCAAAACGGCTTCTTCTCCATGACATCGCGAATGGCCGCTTCGAGATCGCCCCCAGAAATGTCGGCCGACTCAATGCCTGGAAACACGTCCCCAATGAGAGCGAGGAACCGTTGCGAATCGCCAAACGTTAACTTGGACAGCGTGTTGATGCGCACGGCCTTGATCAAGATCTCCGTTTCCTGTGCTCCTGTCATGCGACCTGACACTTGCTTCTTGGCGAGCTGCAGCAGCTTCCCCGCGGTACTGAGCACCGCCTTCAGAGCCCGAAGGCCCCAATCGTAATGCTGCTGTGGCGTGAGGAGCTGTCGGCTCAGTGTGTACAACGAAACGACCTTGGACGCAATGTCCTTGGCCTCACTGAACCCTTCCGACGACAGCACGACTTCAGCAATCAAGTTGTTGTCCGGTCGGCCCATCGCTACCGGTCGAAAGAGCGCTTTCAAGTTGTCTGGCAACTTCGAGCGCCCGCCGTAGCCCTTCCCAGCCGGATTGAGTGTCACGAAAATGCCGGCATTAAAGTCGACGTCGACGTGACGATGGAGCAGCGTGATCGACGTCACGTGGTTCTTTATGGCGTCTTGAATGAGCTGGATTTGCTGTGAGATGGCACTGAGTTGATCCTCCTTGAGACGGTTAAACTCATCGAAGCACCCCCACGCACCGCACTTGACGAGCCCGATGAAAATGCGCCCCATGCTTTGGAAGTCAATGCCTTCATCGCAGTTAAACACGAGCACCTGGCGACCGAACTGGCCCCCGAGCGCCTTCACGCTCTCCGTTTTGCCCGTCCCAGCAGGGCCGTACGGGTTTCCACCAAAGCCCATGTGCATCCCCTGCGTCAGCGTTAAGTAGCACTTGTCCGTCAACGGTGTGTGGACGAGCTTCGGTGCATTGCCCTGGTACTCGTACGTGTAGTTGAACACGGCGTCGTTCATCTTGATCACGCACTGGTGCGACTTGTCTAGGTAAAACCGGAGCTGCTTTTGCCACTGCCAGTCCGTGAGCGATCGAGTGTTGACGAGTTGTTCGCACACGTCGATGTGGTGCACCAGGTCGAGCACGAGCGCTTTCACCTTGAGATGCATGAGCGGTTCTTGGCTCAGGTCCAACGATGTCAGCTCGCGAAGCGTGTCTTGGAGCGTCGCCTTGAGTTCCGGCACTGTGCCATTCTTGATGGCGGCTTCGCATTGCGAATTGAATCGGATCTGCTCCGCCAGACACAGCACTTGAGACGGATATTCAGCGTAGTCTGGGCTGGCCGAGTTTGTTGCTTTCACGACCAACAGCTTGAGCGTTTTGCGCATCTCAGCGGTCAGCGCTTCGAGCCACTCTTCGACCGCGCTCGTGATGGTGACGGGCGAGTTCAGCGGGACCTTTTCCTGAGCGCTGCTGCACATGGCGACGATCTGGTCCTTCTTTTCACTGAATTCGACGCGGTGGATGCCTTGGTACAGCTTCTTCAAATGCGTTTGAATGACCGCCGGGTTTTGCGACTGCCCAAGGATCTCGAGCAAGTCTTCGTCCCCGATAAAGTAAAACCGGGGAAACCGGGACCGCTTTTCCTCCAAAAAGTCGGCGAGCGCCTTCTGGCATCGCTCCAGTTGGTCCACCATCGTCGTCAAGCGATCCTGCAGCTGCGGGAACAACATGTCGTCCGCCAAGTTGAATAGCTTCGGGTCGGTCTCGACCGACCCCATGATGTCGCGAAACTCGTCGTCCACTCGCTTGAACCGGGTCGCTTCCGACGGTAGCGCGCCCTTGCCAAAGATCGGCTCCAGGTACACCCACTTGCGCTGGATGATGTTGAGCTGAACGAGGCACTGGTCTAGCAGCGCCATCTTGGTCTCGAACTGACTCGCCTGGTCGGCAAATGGCTTGAAGAACTGCGATTCCTTGAGCGAAGCCAACAGCGACTGGTTGTCGCCGAGTTGGAGCGTAATGTCTACACTCGGCAAAGCATCAAACTCACATCCATCCTCAACCATATCACGACCATACCTTTCCAATCCTTGATGATGCAGCACGTTTTGCCGTCTTGCTCGTGCTGCAGCAGCGACAGCTCCGCCGTTTGAGTCCACGCCCTGAGCTCTTGCAATGCATCGCGAATGGTGACTTCCCCTTGAGCGCGGGCATGAAGGACTTTGACGAATTGAAGGGTAGCTTGGGCTTCCAGCACGTCCAGGCATTGCAAGAAATGGCCCACGGTCAACTGCACCAGCGAGACGCCCTTGGCCAGGCCGAGTTTGTGGAAGAGCTGTGTCCAATGCTCTTCCTTGAATGGATCCCCCCGACACAACTTCAGCGTTGGCATCGCGCGCTTGATGTGTCCGCAGTGGTCCAAGATTCGATCCACGACTCCCGTATGCTCCATCGCTTTGAGTTTGTCGGCCCACTTGGCCGCCACGTCCGCCAAGTCGAAGATTTTTTCTCGAAACGTGATCCAGTCGTTCTTGGCCATCGCGTCGATTTCCGCGTTGTACTCCTTATACAGGGACCAGTTGACTTCCACGCGCGTGATGTCGGCTTCGAGCGCCGGGACGCCTACGACAAGACACCACGTCACGATTCCAATCCGCTCGAGGACGAGATGGGTTGCTACCGTCAAACTGCGGCAATGGCATCTGGAACGTCGTGCAGTTGTCGACAAGCACCTTGGATCGATTGACAATGTCGTTGAACTGGTCGCGCCACTCGACGATGGCATCGTAAATTTTGTTGACCGAGCTGTCATCCCACGTCGAGACTTCGGTTGGTTTGAGAGTGTTCCACCGCTGCGAGAACTTTTCAATCTCTTGGTTGCACTCGATGATCTTGGTTTCGATGTCGCCCTTGAGGCTCTCCCGCTGCTCTTCGATCATTTCGTTGAACGCTTCCAGCGCAATGTCAAAGTTTTCCCACTTGGAAGGGATCTGGGATAGCCGAAACACGACGTCGCTCGTGTCGATGCTTCCGCCCGCCGAGCTCAGGAGGAGCGTCTTTTTCTTCTCCGCCTTTTGCACCAGCGCCTGGAACGTGCCCTTTTGGCCATCGATCACCTTCCACTCGTTCTTGGCGAGCCCGATTTCTTCAATGCTGTGCGGCCGCTTGTTGAGCTTGTCCATGGACGTGTCGAGGAACTCCTCAACGTGCTTGAGATGGCCCGTCAGGCTCTTTCGAAGACTCAACAGGAGGCTGTCCTGTAGCCGACTCAAATACTCGTCCAAGCTCGACTTGAACGGGACAAGTGATACGCTGACACAGTCGACTTTGACAAAGTCTGGAATTTTGTCGCTGTCCTTGCGCTTGGCCTTGAGCGTCTTCAGGTTCATGTCCCAGTCCGCGACGTCGGTCAGCATGCTGTCGAGCATCGCGTCCAGGTCGGTCGCGCACGTCAGATATGTCCATGCGTCGTAGTCCTTGGTCACGGCCTCCAGCTTGGCGAAGAGCAGCTCCCCGTTCTTGTACACCTGAACAATGTTGGCGGCATTCATATCGCACATTGAAGCAAACACGGACGGGTTGGCAAACCCTTTGAACATGGCGGGACGCCCGATGAACTTTTTCATGGCTTTGTAGTAGTTGGCCCGCAGATCTTCGATCGGTGGCTTGAACGCGAGCGGGCCACGTTGCGGAAACACGAGCTCGACTTTGATTTCCGGCAGATTCTCGTTGAGGCTTTCAAGGCCGATCTGGTACCCCGCTTCCAGGACCTTGTACAACTGGTGGTCCCAGAAGAGCAGCCACTTTTTTGTGAGCGTCGCGTCGTACTTTTTAATGGACGTCGTCACAAACGCCTTGATCGAGTCGAATTTATCTTTCCACTTCTCTGGGTACCGCAGCAAGTCAACGTCCATGAGGACGACGAGCTCCTCAGCCACCTTGTCGTGGGCTCGACGCAGCTTGCGGTTCTCCACCGAGAGCGCGTCGGCCGCTTGCTGCAGCTGCCGCACATACTCCTCGCACTCGTCCAGGTTGTTCCAGGTCACATCGACCTGCTTGGGTTTTGACGTTTTTGTCGACGTCGAGGATTGCTTGACCCCCGGGCGGCGCACGATGTCCTCGAACGCGACGAGAGCGTCCAGAAGCATCGGCTTTTGTTCGTCGATGATTTGGCTCTCCATGTTGTTGTAAAAATTGGCAACTTTCTTCAACGTGACGCCGTATCGGTAGTACTTTTCCGCTTCGAGGGCCACTTGGAGGACGCGAGGTGGCACCCACGGCGGATGGTGCTTGCTGCCGGGGTCCGTTGCGTTGAGCTCTGTCAGCTGGCGAACGTCACGCAAGAGCGTGACCAGGAACTCGCTGTAGTTGACTGTTAGGAGCCCAGATTTGTCGATCTCCATGAGACGACCACTGAGTTTCAACGATGACTCCGTCGAGCTCAAGTTCTCTTCGACCTCGTCTTGCCACGACCGAATGTGCTCGGTAATGGTGCCATGAATCTTCTGGAGCATTTGGTCCCCGGCCTTACGTAAGCCGGGGAATCCGGGCAAGTCTTCAAGGACGGTCGTCGCCAGGGTCATGATGGTCGTGATGCGGTTCGTGAGCATGGTACCCCACACGATGTAGTTGACCTTTGACGACAGATTTTTCCCGCACGGCGCGTCTTCATTCGCGCGAGTCTCAAAATCGCTGCCGAGCTGGTCGATCTGGGCTAGGATTTGGGCGAGGAGCGTATCCCGCTCGCCCGACAAGACGCGACTGATTGCCGGGCGTTTGAGCAGCGCACGATATTGCTGCAAATACCGCAGTGCTGTCGTGGGCTTGCTCAAGACAGACGCCATGCGCTCGCGCAAGTTGGTCCCTGCTTGCGCTTCCATCGGCGCCAACAGCGCCTCGAACTCGTCGACTGTGCTTTGCCAAGCCTTCACCGTATACGGGTTATACTGGAGCGGCTGGACGCGGTCAAACACATCAAAGCACGACGCGTTCAGCGCTTTGTCGTTGCACAGAGACATGAGCTCTTCGAATGTCGTGCGCACGCGAAGCACTTCTTCCAGGCGCTTCATGAGCGGTGGCAAGATCACGTCGTTGTGGGGGCGGCCATCCCAGGGGTGCTCAGCATACGACGGCCAGAACGTCCCTGTGAGTTGCTCCATATGCTCAATCCACTTTTCACACAGCAAGATCGACTGCGTCAGGGCAACTTGTACCGCGTGGTACGGACCTTTCCACACGTTCAGCGCGCCAGCTTTAAGCACAATAAAGCTATCATGGAAACGCAACATGAGCGAAATGTCGATAGATGCATATCGTACCTGTTGAGAGCGTGGTCAACGAGGCCAAAGAAGTGCACCATGCGCTTTTGAGGGTACTGCGCAGCGCCTTCCAAATCGGCGCGCCAAATATCATCCACCGTGTTGTTGGTGTCGTCCAGGAGTTCCGACATGTCATCGAAAGACAACGCGTCCAGTGTGCCGTATCGCGACTGAATCGCATCGAGCGAGCTCGTGAACTTGGAGCTGCGCTCGCGATCGCGGCCCGTCATGTGGTTTTCCCAAAACTGAACCTCGTCTTGAATAGTCACAATACCAAACAAGCTGATGTCGCCACCTTTTTCGTCTCCCTTTTCTCGCACCGTAGTCTGGAGTCCGGCGTCGAGCTCGAGCAAAACGTCCTTGAGCTTCTGAGAAAGACTTCCGCTGCCGCCGTTCAGCAGAAGCGGAGCGTAGATTTTATTCACGGACTGAAACAAGCTGTAGAGAGGAGAGTTTGTCATCGACGACACCTGAATGTTCGTCGACAGATTGTCTGAAGTGAGCGGTTGCGGCAGCGTTTTGACGAGCAAAACAGCCTGGGACACACCCTCCGCTGCGTTATTATTGTCGTCCCATTGAACAGACGTCGACAACGACATCTTCTTGTCGGCACCCAGACGTACTTGGAGCAAACCGCAGGCTGTGTCGTCCAAAAACGACGCGAGGGCTTTGTCGTCATGGATTTGATTCACGTCAGCACCTTTATCGCGCCACATCGACTCGAGCAGCTGAAGGACATACGACCGGCGCACATCCTCGCCTTCGCGTCCCATCTTCTCGCCAGTGTTCCAAATGGTGACTGTTGAAGGTGCAGCAAACGTGGGAACAGACACTATTCGGATAATATCCGGATATGACGTCAATGGGTCTGCTCTCGTCGCAGGAGCAACGCCCTGCAGCACCTAATTAACAGAGGCTACCACGATCACTGGGATGGAATAAACTGCGCTGAGCGGTTTATTGGCAACTTTAGTCAATGCACTCGGGCCGATCGTGGTGAACGGAATGGTCGTGCCCTTCTGAATTCATCTGGAGTGATTGTAATTGGTGTACTTTATCGAATGGCTTGGAACCGCCATGAAAATGACGGTTGCCATGGAATATAGAATTAGACAGTTTAACGTGGTAACAAGCAATAAAGACCTCGCTCAGAGCAGTGGAATGGTTTAACCGCGAGAGTTGATCGTATCATTTTAGGAATTCCATGTTGAATTTCACCTGCGATGGGACGGCGAAAGCAAGCAGCACCGAAGCGGCAGGCGCCAAGGAAGCCAGCCGATGATGCTGATGCGTCGGCCACAGAACAGCCATCTGTAAAGAAAGCCAAGCTATGGAGTCGGCGCTCCCGGTCGAGCGAGACGACAGAGCTGCCTATTTCGTATCATTTGCAACCTTTGTCGATGGATGCCGCAGCGGAGTGGATTCATGTTCGTCTTCCTCTTGAGATGGGGGAAGCCTCAAATGCAATCACCAGTCGAGAAGAAGAATCTGGAGCGTACGTTGTCTCGTTTGTCGGAAAGGAAGATGAAGCGTACACTGACATCGTCCTCAAGAAAGGTGATCAAGCGGTGGAGATTCCTCCTCCTTGGGCAGCAAAATGTCGTCCGGAGGAACTGACTGCCATGGCGTTTCTAAACAGCAAGAAGTGCTTGGCGGTTGAAATTGATGGACGTCATGCACGGTTTGGCATCCACATGACAACGTACACAGCCTTGAGGGGGAATCGAAATCTGCCGAGTGCAACGACGCTCATTTCCAAGCACATGGGAAACTTCATGCGGTGGCTCATCCGCCAGTCGAAAGACGAGTGGACGTTCCCTTACATGTCAGAGCTTGCCGACCCATCAACATCAATCAACTTTGACCCGACAGTCCTGTACAAGTTCATTCCATCCGTTCCGACATCCCAAGCTGGAGAGGAATTCGAACCCAGCCCTAACCTACTTTCAACATTACGACCATATCAAAAAGCAGCGGTTGCATGGATGCTTCAGCGGGAAGCACTCCCACCACCACCACCACACGTACGTTTCGAACTGCCATCACAGGGGCACTCAGTGCTCTCTAGAACGCAACCAATGCCAAGTCCCCGCCCTTCGCGGCTCTCTGGGCCCGTCATGCAAGCGGAGTCGAGTACAATCCATTCACAACTCTGTTTCGTGCATTGTCGGATGTTGCCTCCGTTGACGGCGTGAATTCCTGGAATGTTCGCGGAGGAATCTTGGCTGATGAGATGGGCCTTGGGAAAACTGTCCAAGTGCTGGCGTGCATCCTGTCACATCCAAGTCCTCCTGTCTCAAATGATGTCGATCAAGACAATGCTGTTCCATTGCAAAATGCAACGGTGACTGATGGCCCCATTCGAAGCTGCGTGTGCAATTCCCATGATGAAGACGTACACGGATGGCTCGCGTGCGTCCGGTGTGGCATGGCGCAGCATCGTGTTTGCACGGGCTTCGTCGGATGTACGAAAGAGTTTTACTGCGAAGGATGCCTTCGTCGCGTTGTCCCCGACTGGGCTGCCACGACTACGCTGATTATTTCCCCAGAATCCATTCACAAGCAGTGGAAACGAGAAATTCTACGGCACACCAAGCCCGACTCCATCAGCATCATGGTATGCCCGTTATGTACCATTGGCGTGATTCGAATGGGCAAGCATAGTCGTACGGCGGCATAAAATCCCTTCGCCAGCGTTTGAAAGGTCGCCCAAGTCCTGAGTGGAAGTACTGCCGCGCGCCAGAGCTCGCCAAGTTCGACGTGGTCCTCACAACGTACAGTCAAGTGAAGTAATGATCAACATACTGAGCTAAGGCACTTGGTCTTGTAGTTATGAAGCCCTAAAGGACGACTTGCACCACGTGGCAGCGACTGAAGAGTCGACTTTACGGCAACGAAAGCGTTATCGAATTGTTGCGAGCCCATTGACCCATGTCAAGTGGTGGCGTATTTGCATGGACGAGGCCCAGTTGGTGGAAAACACTCAGGTAAAAACAAATTGTTGTATCGAATCCTTTTGACGCGTCCATCGCTGTTGGCAAAGACCAAGGCTTCTCTAATGGCGCTGGCGCTCAAGAGCACGTTGCGATGGTGTGTCAGTGGGACGCCGTTCTCAGCAGACCTCGCTGACGTATACGGGACGCTCGCGTTTCTTCAAGCAGTGCCATTTCATGACAAGGCATGGTGGCGCGCGGTGATGGTCCCATTTGCAGCTACGGTAGAGTATACCGAACGCCCCAATGCACTTCGCTTTTGTACCCTTCTGGTAGTAGAGCCATCGTCTGGGGCACCTCATGCAACACTTGATGTGGCGGAATGAAAAGAAGAACGTTCTCGATCAAATCAATTTACCACCTCAAACGATTGAAGTGACTTGGCTCGATTTGTCCAACATAGAGACACACTTTTACCACCAGCAATTGGAAGAATGCACTAAGTACTGCGACTCGTCCTCCCTTTTGCATTTGCTCACCATGACGCAGGCACCGCCTTTTACCTGACACCACGGAACACAACGAAATTACGCCTGCGATGATCAACAGCTTGATGCGGCTGCGGCAAGCCTGTTGCCACCCACAGGTGTGCCTCACGTACCAATGACGGATTTCATTGAGTGCTGGTCAGGTTGGTAGCAACGGCCTCAAAGCTCTCGACGGCAATCAACCCATGAAAATGGACGAAGTTCTAGCTGAAATGTTACAAAAGGTTTCCTGTATCATGTCAAGCTCAATCACTTACCGTTGGAGCCATAGGCTCAACGCGAATGCGAAGAAGCCCAGCGGATACTGCTGGCTGTATTGAATGGGTTGGCTGCCCTTAACGTTCTCGAAGGTGCCATCGACGTCGCCGTAGGACAATACTACGAAGCTCTTTGTTTGGTTCAGCACAACTGGGCGGACATTCACGCCGACTTGCTTCCACGTTTGCATCTCGTATACAATTTCGGTCGTCTCTTGGGGCGGTATTGTGGCGACGATGCAGATAACGTACCCCATTCAGTGCCATACGAAGACGCCAAGACACATCACTGCCTGCCTCAGTTGACTGCCACCAAACCAATCTTCAAGAATTTTTCCGTTCAACGGGACTGCGCGACGGACTTGATTTGCGGTGCTCGGCGTGAGCTGGCTGAGAGCGCGACACGGATCGAACTGTATTACTTGCAGCAGTGTAACCTTGCCCATGATACGGCCTTGCACAAGTATGAGACTGCGTTCAACGCATTTCAAGCCGACCATTTTCCCGACGGTATGTTCATCACCTTCGTCGCTTGGTTGGCTCCTTTGAGGTTGTGGCAAAACACTAGTGGACATGGAAACCCAACATGTTCCAGACTCGTTCCACTCGGGATGGATGGAAGCGCTCGATGGCATTGATGACGACGTCGCCTTCATCGATCGCGTACGGGCCAAGCTAATGAGTCGCTACGACACGGGCGCGCATTGGAGCCAGAAGATGCGCACTGCGCATTCGCTTCGCATGGTGCTTGTCCGTGAATTCGATCGGATGTTTCTACTCCGAGCCGTCAATCACCAGCGTTTGATGGCCTTGAGTCGCACCGTGCCAACAAAGCAAGATATTGACATTTCTGGTGTGGCAAATGAAATGAACAAGTTCTCGGATTCATTTTTCTCTGCCAGGGAATTGCTCGCGATGCCGAGAGGGGCGAGATGGACCAACGTGTCATCACTGCAAACTCCAACCTCAAATGGATGCGCTGCGGAGCATGCTTGGGATTGCCGACACGGACGCTGCCTTGTCTGCAAGTGACCACAACCTGGCGTCGTTGCTGATGGACATTACGACTGAACTCGTCAAATGCACCACGAGTTACAATGCCTATACCATGCACGAGCGAATCCAAACGATGTTCGGTGACATGAGAAAGGAGCGCATACTGGCCATGAAGTTGTGGAAGGCCCAACATGCTCGTTTGGGTGCCCTGGACGAGCTCGAAATGGCCAAGACGACACTGCAATTGCGCCAGCCATACGAACCTATTCGAGATGTCAGTGTCGTGAATACTCCAACGACCATTCTGCTGACACTCTGTAGGCCGAAAAATTGTACAAACTACTTCCAGTGGAAGTGCCCTTGAAGCGGATGGAACTGGAACAAGAAAAGGTCGAGTCGAGTGCGAACCTCGCGTCCAAATTGAGCCAGCTTCGGTATCTCCTGCATTTGCATCGCATGCGGGATCAATCCACCAGTGGTGGAAATGACGACCAGATGTGCGTGGTGTGTCACGAACGAATGCGCGCTAAGCGGGGCGTGTGGCCATGCGCCCACGTTTTCTGTATGGAATGCACACACCTCTTGATACAGCGCGCCAAGCCTCTGATTCGATGCCCGACTTGTCGCTCTGTTGCCCATGAAAACCGCATTGTGTTTATTCAAGAAGACAGCCGACTCAGAGGTAGACCGTCCATGCAAATTGTTCGCGAGGCTGAACCCAGGCGCTGCAGACAACGTAGACAGCGGGGGCCATGGAACTAAGATTGACAGCATTGTCCGGCGAATACAGTCGATGGAGGCGGGGGCCAAGTGCTTAATGTTTTCACAGTGGCCAGACATGCTCAAGCTCATGCACCAAGCGCTGGTGGCCGCTGGCGTTCATTGCTTCCTTGTGCAACAAAAAAGGGACTTTGACAAGACATTGGAACTCTTCAAGCAATATCCTGAAGGATGTGTGCTCGCGATACCGTTTAAACACGGTGCGAACGGGCTTAACGTAGTCGAGGCAAACCATGTCATCTTGATCGAACCACTGCTACATCCTGGTGTTGAAGCCCAAGCCATCAATCGAATTCACCGCATCGGGCAGGACAAATCGACAACCGTCCACAAGTTCGTCGTGCGCAACTCAGTCGAAGAGAGCATCTTAGTCCTCCAGGAAAAGAAAAAGTGCATCACAGGCACTGGTGTCACGAAGAGCGACAAGGAGCGCGTCACTTGGACGGACTGGGCGATGCTGCTTCAACTTGTGCGTGGAAAGCTCGTCATGTTTCCACTCACAAACAAATGAATGTCTCGGACGTGTGTTGTTTTCATGTGTAGGACAATGTGGCAATGTTCGAGTCGTTCTGGAACGAGCAAGTGACGTGGAAGTCACGTGTGATGAGTCGTCAGCAAGTCAAGGAACTCTTGGAGCGAGCGCTATCGATGCAGTTACACCAGGCTGGACAGCGTCTCGTCGATCAGCCCAAAATGGCTGTGAGTGGCTTGGAGGTTGCTCTTCCCATCGCAAAACAATTGCTCCAAGGTAGGAATTCTGTTCAAAACATGTTGGATTTTGGACACGACTAATTTTTTGTCGTAGAATGCACACCCATTGCGGCATCGCCGCATGTGGACCTCATCGAGTTCCTTTCCCATCGACTTCAACTCCACACCGCTTGACATGGGACGTTGTTTGCGTTGTGAATGATAGCGATCCAAATTCCACCAAAATGATCCTTGTTGGCAGTGTCTGATTGGAACGACGTCTCGGGCTATGGCTGCGGAATTGCATAGCACTCGGCCACATTTTGCAAAGCGTTCTGCTGGATGAAGTAGTTGGACGGAAGAGGACGCAGATCGACGACATTTAACTGCTTGGCGATTCGAAGACATGTGCTGAGGGCAACTTCGTGGTCGTGAATGGTTTGTGAGCCAGCGTTGGAGGCAGCGATCCCGAGCATCTGCACAATCAAGTCCGCCGTGGTGTCTGGTGTAAGGTGGCCAATCTGGTCTTGCCGAAGCGCAAAGATAATGGGATGTCTCCAGAACACTTGAAACTCAAAATCTTGAGTGTGGGTCATCGGCATCAGAGCAACGGGGGTGTCGGTCGTTGAGTCACTCAGCTGAATGCGTTTCACGGTGTTGGTACCAAACACACGTTGAATCGTTGGGGGCATGTGAGTAAGGTGCATCTTGAATTGGTCCAAGAGCGGGGCAAACATGGACTGGATCGTGGTGGGGAGGAACGTGTAGTTGTGAGGTGTCAGGGTCAGCGCCTCGTGCGTGTCCATAAGGACATAGGCAAGAGGAAACGAGTAGCAGTCCTGCGGTCGTGCTTCGTTGAGGGTATTTGCATTATGACATGTGAAAGCACTCAAAAATACCTTGGATATTATCCACGAGATCTTGTCGCCATGCTGCAGCTTGCACGTCTCACCGGCGTTAACCCACCGGTCGCATACGTTCACCGAGATGTCGCCGCAGTTGACCAGCTCGACGCCTTCATTGGGGCCATCAGGCTGTAAATGAGGCCGAAGATACAACTGACAGCGAGGAATGAATCGAATTGGAAATGAACGGAATCGGGCACCAAATGCATTAGACCACGCGTCTCGACCAACGACGACTGGCTGGTCGCACGGAATCGACAGCAAACCATTGACATGCATCGCTGCTTTTTCATCCGGTGTGAACTCGGACATGCCACGATGCATGCGTAAGGAGTATCGTGGGGGTGCAGAGGTCTTGGCTGCGTCGACAGTTGCCGTCCAGCGTCGATCTTGACAATGCACGGCGTGAATGTATGTGGCATCGCGGAGGCCAAGTGGAACATTGGCATGCACGACGCGGTACTGAAGTGGAGGAAAATGGGAGAATTCCTACGGACGACACAATATGAAATGCATGGATATTTGATTGTCATACGTGCTCTGGAGGGAATTCAAATAGAGTAAGGAGGGTCCCATGAGTCATGTCTGCAACAGCACCTGCAGACGACAGCAGTTTCGGTGCCTTATCAGTTTGATGAACTCGAATGGGCACATTGGATAGATTCTGAACGACGACGCGAGTCGTATTGCTTGTGAGGAGGATTCGCATGCCGACAAGGTGGTTCAAGACAAGTCGGAGGAGTGTTTTGTTGGGAAAGGCTCTGCGAAACACTTCCGTCTCGAGAATGGTGAACGGAAGCGTATCCAGCTTGATCGAGTATGCATTCCCAGCACTTAGGTGTTGCTTTGTGTTTTGCGACAAGAGCTCTTCAAAGGGTTGACACAACACGAGGCGGAAAGGACAACTTGGAACCGTGTTTCGTTTCACATTCGATTCCCTCTACTCATGCACATGACGCTACTGCACTCCGGCTTCTACTAGCTTACCTTCATGGCTCTGACGGAGGATGCCGACTCGACCAGAGCAATGCCCTCCATCATCTTCACCGCGAGCTGTTCCGCCATGGGTGGTGCGAGATCCAAGTTGTCAAATGCTATTCGAAATTCTTCAGTTGAAGTCGCACAAGAGACTTCCATCCGGATAATTTCCATCATGGTGGTTGACGCGCTGGCCCAATTGGCGCGGTGGTATCGTCGGGAGGGACATGAGGCAAACTCAGACAGGTCGGACGACGCGTGGACAACGTCGTCATGTTGCCCAGCGACGAGGATCAACCGAATGCTTCCCACAGCTTCTGTGCGTCGATTCCTTCAACAGAACGTGGACAGAATACGGTGAGCCACTCCAACATCCCAGCGTACCGTGATGCACTTCCAGACAGTCGCTGCAACGTGATCAAACCAACCATGCCTTGCACGCGAATCTTGCACTCTACCTGGAACTCTTAGACGGAATGGGGGATCTGGTCGCTCTACATCATATTGCTCAAGCCATGGCCCTTGCCCCGACAGAAGGTGTCCGCGCGCCATGAATCAATGCATGATCGCGGAATTGGCTTGGTAGGTTCTTACAAAGCTCATCATGGCCGAATGGAATTCAATGCCACGGCGATGAAGAAGCGAGCACTTCTCGCTGCGACCATGGAATCATCGTCGCGTCCGTCGCTTCCACCGCATCTCCCTGTACCTGTTGAGCACCCCAGCTCGCTGTCCGTGGACGCCTTCATGACAAGTTCGTTGCTTCGGAATGACGACGGGTGCTGTACAATATGTAAATGGGGCTTTTCCAACTAGAGTATGCTCAAAAAGGCCTCCCGGTGGTCCTCAAGGGAGGCGCGTCGCTCGTCACGGATCGTGTACGTGACGAAAACGTCGCGCCTCGTGATGATAATGTGGTTGTATATAGCCATGGACGCTGGACGCGTTGGTCGCCAACCCGACCGTTGCCCATACAACGGTGGAGACGAAGCGGAAAGTCCTCGACTCGGTGCTCTGGGCTCGGCTTGAACAAGGTCCGCGCGTTTCTGTGTCGGACTTCGTCGTAGCCTTGCGTGACGGGAAGGGATCCCCTGGGGCCGACTCGCTCTACGTGCATGACGTCTCCATTCCGTTGCATTTACCAGGCAAATTGCTTGTCGTCGAGTCCATACCTCATCGTGTGCTTGGCTTTGGGCGATTCCTAGAGTTAACCCGGCACCTGCGCATTCCAGCATACTTTGCCGGTGACTGGCTCCAGCACACCCCTGAGTACCTCTCCAACTTGTCCTGGCGTTTTCAAACGTATATTTTGTTGCTATAGAGGCACCATGTACCGCGAGACGTGGCCCAGTTTATTTCTCGGGCCCGAGGGCACTGAAAGCCAAACACACGTCGATTCGTTCGGGTCCAACTTTTGGATGGCGCTTCTGGAAGGGCGCAAGCGATGGTGCCTCGTGCATCCCGACGACATGCACTTGCTCTACCCCGAGTGGCATGCTGGGTCGCCCGATGTGGTATTTGGTGTCGACCTGGCCAGACCAGAAGGGTCCCCCGAGCACGCCTTGTTTCGGTAACTTGTTGCCGTTTCGTGTATACGCTGAAGCCTTCGTCCGTAGCCATGCTCGCGTGTGGGATTGCGTCCTCGAAGAAGGCGACGTCTTGTTCGTCCCGGCTGGCACCCCCCACTTTGTCCAGAACCTCACGCAAACCGTGGCGGTGTCTTGCAACTACATTGACGCCACCAACTGGGTCCGCGCATCCACAGCCCTCGCCCACCAAGTACGAAATCATCTACTTTTGCCAAGAGATTTCACTTATGTGTAGGCATATACAGATGTTCGGGCAGCAGACCTCCTGACACACTTGCATCGTATTGTCTCCACTCAGCAACCACCACGCCATGACCGAGTGCCACCGACAGAACCGAGTCCCCTGCCGCCGCCATCCATGTCATTTCAACAGTTCAAGCACCCACCTGGCGCAAGTCCGTTGCCTCAGTCATCATTCCCTCGCAGCAAACGTCCTCGGAGTGCCTATGCAGACCTCGTCGCTGATTTTGAGTCGAGCGACGTCGACGAATCGAACGACTAGCTCCGAGTCGGCTTGCTATCGTGGAGCACTAAACAAGGCAGTTGTACAATGTCATGTTACGGCGGTGGCGTAAGTCACATTGGGGGTGTCTTTGGGTGAGTGGAGCGAGGTGTCGAGGGATTCCGTCGCTGGCTAATCGTCGATCAGCTCCATCTCAATCAGGGCGACGGCAATGAGGCAGTAGAGGGTGAGGAGCATGGACCCTTCGAGCCAGTTGGACGTTCCGTTCGACACAATTGCGTACACGATTACGATGCTGATCACGTACGTGACGGCATCGAAGGTTGGGAACGCCAGCGTCATGGGCTGGCCCATCACCCACCCTGCAACGACACAGAAAGGCACGACAAAGAGCGAAATCTGAGTCGCAGACCCGACAGCGACTCCGAGAGCGAGCTCCATGTTGTTTTTCAGGGCCACTTTGATCGCAGTCACGTGCTCGACGGCATTGCCGACAATCGGGAGCAAGATAATCCCGACAAAAGATCGACTGATGTTGGCAGACTCGGTAAAGCCGTCCACGGACGCAACGAGGAACTCGGAAAAGAGGGAGACGAGGCCGGTCGACAGTGCCAAGACAATAAGACTGCTCCAAAAGGACAGCTGCGGCTCGTGGTTTTCCTCGCTTGGCCCGTCGTCGGTTGCGGTAGTGTCGTCGGATGGTCGACGGCGGTGAGTGCGAAGTTGAAACACGAGGAGCTGAAGATACATGGCGATGAGGAAGATCGCGGAGACGCGAGACATGACAAGGACTTCCTCTTCACGCTTGGTCGTTGACGAGGCAAAGTTCGAGTAGTGGTAGTACGTCGGTACAAGCATGGCAAAGCTCGTCACAAAGAGAAGCGACATATTCGTGGCGGCGGCGCGGCCGCTGAATGACGCCTCAGACGCACCGCCAACGTGGGCCGCGATGAAGCAGCATCCGAGTACGAGAAGAAGGTTCGACAACATGGAGCCGAGAAGAGAGCTCTGGACGAGCGCGATTTCGCCTTTCTTCAGCGCGAACACTGCAATGATCACCTCGACGGCGTTTCCAAACGTCGCGTTGACAAGGCCGCCAATGGTGTCACCGCAGTGTTCTGCAAGTGCTTCCGTGGCTTCGCCGAGAATGTTCGCGAGGGGTACCATCGCGAGAAAATTGAGCACAAAGATGGGGATGTCGCCCCACTTGTCCACGTAAGACCAGGCAGCGACCGGCATGAGCAGAAGGAACAGGTTCACGTAACTTCCCGTCATAAGGTTCCAGATGATCCGGCTTTGGCTGGGGTGCTTGGAGGTTGTTGCGGCTGACGCCAACTGGTCGATCTGCACAGTTGCAAGCTCCGCTTCCGTCGCGGCTGTCTCAGAACGAGTCGGGTCTTCTAGGTCTTGCGAAGCGGGTGTGATATGGCTCGTCTCGCGTAGGAACTTCTGTGCCTCCTTCGTCTTGGCTGCCATCGTGTCCGAAGTCAATGTCCTTGTTGTTCCACCACGCACCCTGCCTGAATCCTCCAACCATGGGGCCGTCAACGACCCAACCACAGAATCTTCGAACTTCGATGGCTAGGGATGTGCCACATCCATAATACTGGAACACGTGGGACTTCTGTCGGTTTTACGGAGGAGTTTGTCGCCAGAGCCGCTCTCAACCAAAACAGTGCCTTCCGCGGTCGGTGCTTCGTGAGCACTCTTGGCGCTGTGAAGGAAGGAATATCTTTCCATCTTCGTACGTGCACTCCCTCTGAGAAAATCGCTCTGAGTGAATGAATTCGTATTTCGTAGAAAATCCACCAATTAAAACAGGTCAGATCATCCCAGTGGTGTTGTCGGTCCCATGACGTGGCAGCCTGACAAGTTGCACGGCGCACGTCCGCAAAGCACGACTGGGTTCTCGCCCTCGCGGCTGCAATGGAGCTCAACTGAATTGAAGAAGAAAACGACTCCGACGCTAGATCACTCAAGGTCGGGGGTGGGATTGGGCTGTGTCCTTCGATGAACCTCCTTTAACGGCATGCCACCACGCCGCAACTTATTCCCTGTTCCGAGCCCTGCACGGAAGGATAGGATGTGAAGTGACACGAGTCAGTTGGCCTTTGTATGTCGTCGTGTATTTCACCATCTGTCGTTATCTCTCTCATTTCCTCTATCATACATGCACCCAAAGAAGCGCAATGGCAATCAGGCCATACAGAGTAAGGAGCATGGAACCTTCAAGCCAATGCGATTTGCCGTCAACGATGATGGCGTACACGATCACAACTGCAGACACGTACGTCACCGCCTCAAAGGTTGGGAACGCCAACGTCATGGGTTTGTCCATGATCCATCCGGCCAGCACCGTCACCGGGACCACAAAGAGCGAGATTTGCGTGGCGGATCCGACTGCAACCCCCATCGCCAGCTCCATCTTGTGTTTGAGCGCGACACGAACCGCAGTCAAGTGCTCGACGGCGTTACCCACAATCGGCAGCACAATAATCCCCACAAAGGATTTGCTCACATGCGCCGACGCAACAAATCCATCGATCGAACCGACGAGGTATTCCGACAGAATAGACACGAGCACGGTGGCAAGGCCCAGCACGATGACGCTGCTGCTGAGTGTCATGTTCGTGTGGTCGGGCGTGTCGTCGTCAATGCCTTCGTCGTCGGCAGTCAGATCGTTCTCACTCGAGTCGAACAGGTGCGCGTGAGTCTTCATTTGAAAGTACAACAATTGAATGTACATGAGGAGCAAGAAGATGGCCGCGATGTGCGACAGTCCCAGCACAATCGCCTTGGTCTCGGGTTTTTCTTCGTATGTCGTGTGCTTGTAATACGACGGCACGAGCATTGCGAAAGCAGACACCATGAGCAGCGACGAGTTGGCTGATGCATTTGTTTCGTTGAACTTGGACACGGATTGGGTTACCCCTCCAGCCACAAAGCAGCATCCAAGCACAAGGAGCAAGTTCGACAGAATGGACCCGAGCAGCGACCCCTGCACGACGGCGATTTGGCCGTCTCGCAAAGCAAAGATCGCAATGATGACTTCCACGGCGTTGCCAAACGTGGCGTTGACCAACCCGCCAATCGTGTCCCCTGTGTGGAACGCCACTTCTTCCGTGGCGTCTCCGATAATTTTGGCGAGCGGAATCATGCTAGCAAAGTTGAACACAAACACAATTGTATCTCCCCACTCCGCGTACGACGAATAAATGGCAAACGGAAGGAATAGCAAGAGCAGGTTGATGTAGCTGTCGGTGGCGACGAAGTACAGCGTGTGGGCTAGCGTCGGGGGCGGCGGTGGGCTTCCATTCACGTCCCCTCGAATCAACGGCGTCGTTTCTTTGGACGTGCGAAGATCTTCCTTGGCTTTCGTTAGCAGCATGTTGATGTATGGCATTCAATGCGGGAATTCCTTCCAACATCACGACCAGTAACCGTCGGCCCCTTTGGATCTTTCACAGGTACTGAAAATAGTGACTTAACTCTATTTGACGGTGGCTTCGATTGACGTGAGTGGAGACGTCCGGATAACGTCGATATCGTATGCGGTGGCGAGGCAATATTCCTCCACGCGACGGCGACTGCATTCAATGGCCGAGAACGGACAAGTCCTCCTCCCGAACGTCGGCATTGGCCACGCGAGCATCGAAGACCTGGCCAAGTTGGTCAAGGCGAAGCGGGAATTGGCGCAAGAAAAGGTCATCTCTCACCAAAAGGTCAAGCTCCTCCGTGAAGAAATCGCCGAGTGCTACATGAAGAACGGCGTAAACCACTTTGTTGCGTGCAAGGCCCTCCGCGAGCAATACTCGGCGTTGGTCAAAGATCCTTGGCTTTCCATGAAGCCCGTAAGTCCATGATCCCTCTCTCATTGGTAGCGCTAAGCATTTGTCATCATGCTGTGTTGTGGGTAGATTCGATTCGAAGGGCAAGATGACGAATAGTGGAGAACAACGACGGCGGCGGTCGACTCGTGCGCTGCCTTGGATTTGCATTGCTCATTCGCGACTGCATCGAGCAATCTAGTATAGAGCAAGCAAGCAAACGGTGTCGCGAAGAAGCGTACTCAATGACCACGTGTGATTAAAAATATAATGTCTACCTCCTTGACGCACATGCTTGGTTAACAACATCCCCCCGCCGTCGTTGCTGCTTGCGTTGTCGCTTCTCCCTTGCCAGTTGAATCATGTCTTGGGCAAACGTCGATCCAAATGAGACAGACTCGTGTTCTTTCTTCGGGAGGACAAAATTCTCATCCATGCCACTCGGGTCTACAATCGCCAGTACATCAAGCTCTGACATGGAATCTTCTTCGGCGATCAGTAAGCGATTCACTGGGGGTGGCGATATGCTGGGTTTGGGAGGCATTATAGCTCCACTTTCTCGCCAATCTTTAATCGCCCAATGTAAGTTGAGTGTGCCGGTGGATATCAAATCGTTGACAGTCTTGCAGGTGCTGTCAAGTTTACTTGCCGACTCTACAACCACCTTTTTGTGCCCTTCAACTGCTTGGACAAGCTTTTTATTCTACCCCAAAGACCAATTAGTAGTTGGCTGCATGGTGCAGTCGATTGTTGGAGGGCTTTCCACACCTCCACCAGCAATTCCTTTGTCGTTTTCGTCAAGAGCTGCACTTTCTTCATGATAGCCTTGTATTCTTTGGATTCGATAGTATGGCGATGCTCAAGTTTCCAAATTCGTGCACTTATTGCTCGAAGTTCGGACTCCCGCTTCGCCGTGGCCTGTGCTTTCGCTTGGTGTCTGGCCTCCTTAGCTTGTAATTGTACGGCTTGCTCTGCTCGCTCCGCCACCTGAGTTGCAGCAAGCTGTCTTTGCTTTTCCAGTTTGCGACTGAGCTTAGCATCTTCCACTTTTTGCTTGAGTTTCGCCTTCTCAGCCTTTCGAGCTTGGTGCTGAATTTCTTTTTCACGTTGTACTTCCAGCTTGGCTTGTCGTCGACGAAGTTTCTCAGCTTGCTCATTCTGTCTCTGCTGTTCTTTGGCGTCGCGACGTTCTCGCTTTTCTCGCTCCAGCTCGTCAATCTTTCGCTTTTTCAACGATTTTTTCACCTCTTTTTCTTGAGCTTCTTTTTGCTTGTCTTGAAGGAGTGATTGAACGGTCTCTATGAGCTGATGATGTCGCTCGGGGTCAATTGGCCCTTTTGCTGACGTTGAATAGTTCTCGTCTCTTGAAGTTTGAGAACCACGACGCAACTCCGCCGACTCCACTAGCATTCTGGAATACCTGCTTTGTAACAGGGTTGGAAGTGGAAGCACAGCCTACGCAGAAAAGATGGGAGGTTTGGTGGCGACATTTGGCGCGTAGAATGCACCTCATCTTGACTAAAGGGAGTTAGTTGCGTTTGACTGAATATATCTTCGGATGTGTATGCTGTTTGTTGAGATGAGCTCGCATATCCTATGGAGTGTCCTATCAATTCCATCATTCGGTCAGCCGATGCCAAGTTGAGTCTCACTTATGGATTGCGATTGCTGGTTCAAAAAATCCTCCTGGGGCGGTGCGTACATCGATTGTTGGTAGCCTATATGTCGAGATTGGTGAGCTCAAATCAATTCACACTGTCTTGACTCGTTTGTCGAAGGTGATTGTGCTTGAGCTTTGGTCCTGGTTGCATTGGTTGAGGTGGTTGAGTTCTGTTCGTAGAGTTCGAAATTCCCCGTGATGGGTTGAGACTGACCACGTTTTCCCGTCTCCTGGAAAGGCGTCATTACGGCAATTCCGAGTGCATGCAATCGCGCTCCTCCATACCTGCTCTCATTCTCAAGCATCTGGGAGAGCGAGACCACGTGCTTTGACATGACAGACGAACTTCCCGCGCTTTTTGAAAACTCCTGAGAATTCAAACATATCCGACGTATCCGGATGGTTTATCGCTAGTTCGGATAATGTTTTTCGCTTTGCGTAGTCGGATGCCTTCCCACGCTGCGGCACCAGCACCACCGGCCACTAAGGTGGATCGTTTCCGTCCCATCGAGAAGTACTACCGACACCGTGGAGACGGCCACAAGAACGCTAAACAGCGACGCCGTGAACGCCACCTATACATTACGAATGGCGGCGTTGTTTCTTCTGAAGTTCTGGATGTGCACGATCTCGGAAGCAATTCAGTGACACACCGAGCCAGAGTGCGCAACATACCGCTGGTTCCTTCGGGCGACCCCTTCACTGGCACAATACTAGATGCAAGGCATGCCGCGCTATTCGAAATTGATGGCCATCCTGGACTTCGCATCCTCATCAACGCCATGCCCTTGCCAACACAAGTGGAATGGGCGCTACGGGCATTACGGGAGTACTCTCAAAATCCCTTCACAAATTTGTCAAACTTGACGAAGGACCGGCTGGCGACGACGAACCTGTGGAAGGATGTGTGGGAAAGCCCTGGCGAAGAAACATGGAAATCGTTTCAATCGCTAAGGTGGGCAAATGTTGGTCGGCATTACGACTGGACAGAACGCGAGTATTTGGACACGCCCGATATGCCGCCATTGCCACCAGAGCTGAAGCAGCTCGTTCAAGAAGTGTTCGAGATTACTGGCATGCAAGATTCCTGCAAAGTTGGCGAGTCAGGCATCGTCAATTTCTACCCTGCAGGCACCATGATGGGCGGTCACATGGACAATGCTGAAGAAGACATGGTGAATCCAATTGTATCGCTAAGCTTGGGCACCCAGTGCATTTACTTGCAAGGCGGTGTGACGCGCGAAACTGTCCCTACACCCTTGTGGCTGCGTTCAGGTTCGTCTTCATCGCCACCTTATCCCGCTGAGAATGCATGCTTTATAAGGTGACATTGTAATTATGGGGGGCGAAGCTCGACGATGCTTCCACGGTGTCCCCCTCGTGACGTCCAAACTTTCGAGCGAATTCATCCAAGCAATGAACGATTTTTCAGCCTTAGTTTCAAGTGCAGTCGACTCTCGAGAGCTCCATGCGCTTCGAGTGTACATGGCTCGTGCCCGCATCAACATCAACCTTCGCCGCGTTCGCAACGACTGAAGCGACGATCCTGACATGTCCGACCAGTTTCTGACGTAACGTGTTGGAACCAACCAGGGCGATGTTGCAATGTACAGTCGCTCCACGTGAGGTTGCCCACGCTAAGATTTTCCCCTTGAGCGGTGCACACGACTACGTAACTTGAGGCTACGCCTTCCCGTTGTCTGCGCCGCAGTGTGTTCCTCACCCGACTCCACAAGCCTTATGGCGGCCACGTTCCGCTGTCCGGCGCAAGCCTTGGCGTTGATGCGACAGATGTCGGCGACCCTCTATAGTGATATGCAAACTTCAACGTGGCCCGGTAAAACTGGGAAGTACCATGCGGGGCCATTTTCTAGGCGAAAATATCCTAATCTTGGAGTCAAATCGACCGAATTCGCCCCAGTTTTTATCGGAACTAGGCAAGTCCCGTGACAAAGCAGCGTCACACACTGCAAAGGGGGGTTTTATACATCCCTTCTACGCCAATCAATGCGCATACTGCCGAGGGTGATTTTTATATGAATCCACATACCCAATACAACCATCCAATGAAAACACGATTTCGAATAAAAATACCTGCTGAGTGAGTGACAAACGCCCCAACGACGCCTTGGGGTTGCTGACATCATCAGGTTCGACTCTCTTAAGTACGAAATCGGCCTTTTCCCCCGGTCACTTCCACATTCTTCTCCATGGCCACGTCAACGCCCCCCGTGCTCCTCACGACGGCCGTTGCTCCCCCCGCGTTGCCAGGGAAGAAGATGCAAAACCCTCAGGTGAAGTTTTTCATCGGTGCTGGAGTTGGTTGGACGTACGAGTTTGCGGCCGGGCACTTCCTCGAGTTCATCAAAGTCATGAAGCAAACCCAGAGCCACAAATCGTATTTGGAACTGGCCCGCGACATCACAAGGTCCAAGGGCATTGTTGGCATCTGGGATGGTTTTTTCCCGTGGGGCACAGTCCAGGCGCTGGCAAAGGGATCGGTGTTCAGCTGGGGTCAAGCATTTTCTCGCGCTCAACTCAGCCCCCTCGTGAAACAAGGATATCTTTCGGATCGCATGGCCGAAATCATGTCAGGAGGCCTCGGCGGTGGGATTCAAGGCATTGTGTTGAGCCCAACGCTTCTTCTCAAGACTCGTGTCATGACTGATCCGGTATTCCGAACCAAAATGTCAGGGTGGGAAACCATTACCAAATCCGGGCAAGTTGGCATGAACGTCATCCGCAACGAAGGCGTGCCTGCACTCATGAAGGGCAGCGTTGTGTTTTCGTTGAAACGTGTTGCGGACTGGTCGACGCGTTACTTTTTCTGCGTCCTCAGCGAAGACGTTATGTACCGTCGTGGGGACCCCACGCGAAAGATCACAGTGTCGGAAGAGTTGGCAGCGTCACTCGTCGGTGGAACGCTGTCGTGCTTGGCGACGCTGCCCGTGGACGTTATGGTGGCTCAAATTCAACAAGCATCAAAGGCTGGCGCGAACGTCGGGATCGTCGACACGTTCAAGAACGAATTCGCGCAGGGCGGGGTGAAGCGTCTGGTCGGGTTCGCCATGGGAGGATTTGTGCCCCGGTGTCTGCACGTTGCGTTCACTACAATGGTGATGAAGACGGGGTGCAGTGCGGTCTACTCTATATACGAAGAATACGCAGAAGCCAATTAATTAACGATGCTAGAGTTGTCTACGACTTGGAAGGATCTGGAAGTGCCGTCACTGGTACATCGGCGGCACGTGCTTGCCGTAGGTCTCCAGCAGCGCTTCTTCCGCGGCGGACATGATTGCGAAGTCGTCGTCTGTTTCGTGGTCATATCTATGGGAGTCCAGTCAGACGATGCCAAAAGACCAGATCTCGGACCCCATCAAGTGACACAGACCGTGCGCGACCAAAATGGGCATTCTTTCCTCGAGCGTGGTGTCTGGTACATGGAAAACGACAATCCTTGACATGGGACCTTAGCAGGGCCCTACCATTGTTGCGGCAATACGCTTCAATGTACGGAAGACTGAGGAACATGTCGCCTAGATATCGGCCTTCTTGGGTGCGGGCGTCAGGCAACACGCCTGGCGTTTGAATCTGAGATGTGTAGGGTGAGATCGCATTCAGCAGGTTCAGAGAGCCATTGCTACGCACCGTGTAGTTTGGAAACGAGAGGATGTCGGTCGGTTTGTCTTTGTTTCGATACTTCTTGTTCATGAACTGGATGTGTTTGTCGTCCGTCAAGAGCAGTCCTGCGTCCCTACAGGCTGTATAATCTGACGTGCTGGCCAAGACCAAAGACGTACCATCGACGTCCTGGAGATCCAATGATCCGAAGCATCGCATTGAGATGCGCATTCAGCTTCCTTGGATTCAATGGCAGTGACTTAGCACCATACTGTTGCCGCAGCACTTTGCTCACGATGACCATGGTGTTCTTTCGAGACGTGTCCAAATGTTGGCACACCAACCAATACGAATCACATATTCAAATCCGGATAAACCAATACGCTCTCGCTCAAATTAGATGCACTCAATCATATCGAACACTTCGAACTCAACACAGCACGTGAAATAGCAAGGCCAACTCAATCCTCACCGCCAGCCCCAGTGTAGGGGAGATTGGGCGATGAATTTTGAGAGGAGGGCAACACCATGCGTGTTGTCAGAACGGTCGCTAGTCCGTATTCTATCGGTTTGAAGCAAATTTGAATTTGGGACTCCCCACGAATTCCATGAACTAGAATCGATTCGATTGGTCAATTTTTCGATGACGGCATTCGATTGGCTCATTCTGGATATGTTCCGCGGTCAATGCAAGGTTACCTGCAAGTTCGTCGCAGAACTTCCAACGTGATGATTCCCAAAGCGTGGTGAAGGCAGATACCCCCCAACGCACGCTCCAAGGACTCGGACAACTCGATAGAGATATTCCTTCCTTGCCTTGTCTACTCATTTCATCCGCCTGAATAAAAATGCCAATCAGGCAATTGAATTTCAGCATTGTCCAAATATGTTGGATATTTTCGTGTTTTTTTTTATGAAACGAGTCAGGAAGGACCTTCAGAGTTTCCTCGCCTTGACGGCGTGAACGCTTCATGCTCGCTTGCTACAGTTCGATGAGTGTCTTCAGTAGTCTCGAGCCCACTCATATTGGGAGGAAAGCTCGCAATTGCATTGTCGGCCTCATGTTCATCTTCACCATCGGACGCGATACCTCCATCGTCATCACTCGAATCACATTTGGTTTCTGCTGTGACGCCATCGTGCTGCTGGTCGTCCTCTTTGCCAAACGTGTCAATTCGAACGATTGAGTCTTGCTTCGGCACGTAGTCCAAGGCAACTTGAACCGAGTTATCCCACACAACTCGTTGGTCCGAAACATCGAATTCTGGCAAGGCGTGCGCCATTCGCGCTGCTGCTACGGTCTGCACCATCGTGACCAAAATAGTGGAGACGGTGGTTTGCGCCACAATGAATCGCGTCGTCGCCACGAGTTGATCCCATGCCACAAGACGGAGATGGTCCAACGTTGAACGTGCCCAGACCACCTGCTCGGCAAGGTGGCATCGGGCCGACTCCACCACCTCGATTCGGCTTCGACATTTCGTGACAAGGCGCACAAGGGAGATTTTCGCGTCGATGTTGCGCTGCCTCCATCGTACCGATGTGGTAGCTGTTCGAGCCAGCGCTGCGCGACTCTTTCGCTTTCCAACGATTGACAAACGAGCTCTACATGTCATTTCGTCGAGACATATAGTCGCCAGGCGTTGTAAGTCGAGGAGCGCTGCTGCTCTCTGTGACGGCTGCGTCAAGTCAGCCCGGGCGAGGCTTCGACGCTCCATCAACGCCCTGGCGGTGTGAACCCGAGACTTGAGCACGAGTCTGGCGACGGCGCATTGCAAGATATGGCCACCCATCGCAACACTCACGTTGTGGATGCCATCTTTCCTCCATCGTGACATATGCGCACACGCGGTGAACTGCGCTTGGGCCACGAGGGATACTGCTAGCTTCTTCGCCGCTCTGAGACGGACAAGAATGATATGCTTTGCCTGAAGTGCACCGGCGGCAATCGCATTTCGGACAATAATCACAGCTTCAGCCGGCACAACGGACGCTGGGACTGCTGGGACGTGCGTCAGGCGGACCATCCACGTTGTGTGCAGTATCGGTACACCAGGAATGGCTTTCGACACTCCAAACGCAGCCCACGACGCCAACGTCGAAAAGAAGTTGTAGCATTCGTTCTGGCAAACGTGATCCCATAAGCGATGGTGATTCATGCAAACGACTTGAGGGTTCACCCATTCCTTACCTGGGCAATCAAATGCAGTGGTACCCGCAAGTTCTCCATCGTGGTTCTTTTTCGAGGACCGTGGAAGCACACTTGATCCAGCGGTATCGTTCTGTGATGTGATGCCGACGCAGCAACGAACGTGGCGTCGGTGAGGAGTTTGGTGTGTGACACGTAGTTGGGGTCGTTCGGGTCGCGCAAGTACCGCGCCAGATCGGCGTACTCTTGAGTGGTCAGCGCCAAGCCACTCACGTGAAGGATCTCCCTGAATGTTGTGGTTGTCACCATGCCAAGATGGTACCGGTCGACGAGGGAAAACACAAGTGGCCAATCGATCTCCATGCGCGCTCCCATGTTGGCCAAGTGTCGCACCACATCTCTGACGCGATGCTTGAATGATTTGGTTTCGGATGACGGCGACGCGCCTCCACTTCGAGATGGGTTTGATTTGATGCTTGTGCTTTTTGCCTTGACCGTGGGGCTGTCGCCACCACCGCAGGAACCAGGGTGGAGAAGCGAGCTGCCTCGCCCGAGCGCGTCCAGCGCTGCTTGTGCCTATGCATGGAAATTTCACTCCACAGTCTCACACGCAAATCCTCGTAGTAAAGCATACTGGTGGGAAGAGCTTGGCGACTGCTGTCCACTCCTTGACTGCTCCTTCGACTCGCCCTGCTGCATTGTACGCCATGCCGAGCTTAAAGTGAGCCCAAAGGCTTTGCGGGTCCATGTGAATAGCTGTTTCAAATGCCTTGACGCTCTCCGTGATTTGGCCAAGACTCAGCGCCGCAGAGCCAAGATTGAGATGCAGTTTCAACGGGAGATGCACAGTCTCAGCGTCGCCGTCTTCGGGAGTGGGTAGCACCTGTAACGTGGCGGGCACTGGCATCATGGTTAGCGCAAACGTGTACAGCTCGACCGCTCGATCAAATATCCCCGCGCCATGCATTCGGAGTGCTGCGACACACACAGCCTTGAGCTTGGCGTGGTGGGCAAGCGACGCGTGGTTCGCAGGCAGTGTGCGCCACCACCATTCAAATCCACTCGCCGACGTCAAGTCGCGACTGGCGTGATGGGAAGTCGCCTTTTGGCGTGGGGGTGACTTCAATGGAGCAAGGGGCGCCACCGTATCATGGACGGACGAATGAATGAGCGGTACCGCCAGCTTGCACGTCTTCTTTGGAATGACTTGGAGCGTGTTTGTATGCGGTGGAGTCAAGTCAAACGATTGCAGTCTTTGCTCAATTTGATCGAGCGGAGCCAGTGTCACGGGCAGTTTGCGGTTGTGGGGCGGCGAACTTGTGCCTTTATTGGGCTTGTCCTTTGATCGTGGGGGGGACGAGCCGTGTTTCGGGGAAGGGCGTGCGGCAGGTGTTGTTTTAGGCCGTAAACCAAAGAGAACCTTGGGCTGTGGCAAGAACGGGCTCTTGTCACGGAGGAGAGTAGTGGGGGGCGTGAACGAGGGAGATCGTAGAGACGACAACATGGCAGGAGATTTCTTTGGGGGTGTTGCTGGACAAGGGCTTGGCGGAGCGTACGATAGTTCCAGCAAATATGCGGTCGTCTTTCGCATATCAAAGAGAACCAAAAGGCGCTTGGTCAAGTCTTGAAGCGCTTCGCAGTCTGGGTGTCGTTTCGCCAGCGTCGAAAGGAACATGTTAGGCACGATTGCTTGTCCCTTGTCCCATCAAAACCCATGAAAAGTGGTTAAGTAAGGGGCCTGGTTCACGGGCAAGTACCTGCGCGCCGACTTCGCAACCTTTTGAGACTACAACTGCATCGGCGGTGGCCAGCACCAAGAGGATCTTGAGCACGAGGATCTGATGCAGCAAACCACCACCATCACAACGTGGGCTGGAACAAACGTCGGTCGCCGTACCCTGGCTTGGAGATTCGCATGTCGGATCAACAGGCGATAGAGCGGCGTTGCCAGCGCTATCCACTTTCCGTTGCAACTCTCTGGAAACGTCGCGGAACGTACCAGCTTCGTTTGCGCGGCCGACAATCGACTCGGACGACATATACATGTAAACCTCCTTGAGAAACGATTCCTATGGAAAAGAGCAGCACATCACACAACGGCGCCATGGCGATGGACGGGCACGGCGCACCACGCGATGTTCCGAGCACCGATCTTGTGTGGCGCAGTACAAAATCAACGCCAGTGGCTCGACCATGCACTCGGAGCACGGAGACCCTGCAGCCACTTTGGGATTGAGCCGACCAGCGCTAAGGACTGATTGCAAACAGTCTTCAAATTTTCGCACGACGTCTTTTGCTGTGGCACCCCCCATCAGGTCAACAATTCGCTGGTAATGTCGTACCCTGACGTGACGTCGGATCCGTCAACACGCGAAGCTTTTGGAAGTGATCGTTGAGCCACAAGCTTTTCTGGGCGAGAAAGAGGTCGAGTGGAGGCACCTTGCCGCGTCCCCCTCGATGGGTTGCCCCAAAGTCCGCCAGCCATTCCGAGTTGACCGTCACCAGAACTTGCGTAAGCGCATTGTCCGAGTTGTCGCGATGGCCATGAATTTGTACTTCGGGGTCGTCTGCCCACCCATCGACTCCGGCATCTCCCATGCGGTTGCCGTCGTGGATCCGCGCGATTCGTAACGGGAAGGCGGCTATTTTTATGCCGCGCGTTCATCATGGCCATATCACAGGTAGCGTCGACGGCAACATAGGTTTATGTATTAGTTCTACATGAAGTCGTCAAAGTCTTCGCCGTCATCTTCAAAATCGTCCATGCCACCACCACCGCTGCGCTCGACCTTGGCATAGCCTTGTTTGCCCGTGATCTTCTTCTTCTTGCTCTTGGGCTTGGCGGCCGCGATCTTGTCGTTCTTGATGACGTTCACGATCGTCGTGATATCCTTCATGTCGTCCGCCGTCAAGTTGTTACTCGCATGCGATATTAACGTCTTCATAAACTCCACAACGTACTTGGCGTTCTGCAGCGCCAGTCAGCAAAGGCGTTCGAGAGCAACGACGTGGGATAACCTACCGAGTTAGCCAAACGTTTGCCCACCAAACTTCCAAGCTCTTCGTGGTCGGCCAAGCTCGCGAGCTTCATGTTTGTGACCAACGTCTCGACTTCGTTGGGCCCAGTTACTTTTTTGCGCTCGACATTCGGGTTCGCCGACAACCCAAACGCGTCCAGCGTGTTTTCAAAGTCTGAGTGTTCGATCGCACGAATCTGCTTCGCCTTGAGCTCGTCCGCCGTCATGTTGCGTTCGTCTTCGGCCCGGGCACGGGCGATGGCAACTTCCAACTTGTGCTTTTCTTCCTGTTCCTTGAGGATCTGCTTCTTCAGCTGCTTGGGCTTCAAAGGGCCAGTAGGAGCCGCCGGCTTGGGCGCAGCGGCCACGGGTGCCGGTTCGTCTTCCTCTTCTTCGTCGTCCCAGTTGGCCACGACGGGCTTCTTTTCGTTCAACCTGAAAATGAAGAATCGTAAGCGACGGAGGAGGCAGAGTCAGGTATGGTGCGTACGAAGGCACTTCGAATTCATCGTCATCTACACACAGCCAGGCATGAGGTCCACGGCACAGACGGAAGAGGCGATGGCGGTGCGACCTACCCCATGAGTCCATGTCGGCGCTACAAGAACTTGGCCAACTGGAGTCTTATGACTGGCTGGTGTGGTCACTCTCCTACCGAACGTCCCATCGTGTGGGTCTATTGGGAAATATTCCCCTAATTCCAACCATGATTGGGAGAAAAATGGGAATCAACACCAAGTGTTTCCACTACAAGGAAGGATATTTCCCACGCGATGGCGGCCGAAGCGACCTGACCAACACGTGAGCGCCATGTTCAGTCTCCAGGCGAGCACACTCATAGCGATAGACGAAGGTGCCAGGTGCATGTTGTCGGGACTGAACTGTTCCGATGCGTTAACCAAAACTAAACGAGTTCTCTACTTCTTGTTGGTCTTCTTTGTGGGAAGTTTGGAGTTGGGAGGAGGAGGCGGGCCATGGTTTTGATCCTTGTGCTTCTTGGTCGTTTGGCCGTCTGTGATCGGTCGATATGGTGAGAACATGGGCTGTTGCATGCCCCTTCTCCATTCCGTACCTGTCTCGTCGGAGGTGGATTTTCGCTTCGACTTCTTGATCGTGTCCGTCACTTCATGCTCGACCACAATCTTGGGTGCAGGCACAACGCTCTTGACGGGCTCGCTAGACCCTAGCACTTGCTTTGGTTTTTTTGTCTTTGGCTTGGTCGGTTTCGAGTCGTTCGCGGTCGTGACGACGTTCATCCGGCACGCCGACAAGCACGTGACCAACGCCGTCCCAAACACTTTGGTCGACGCGACGGGCTCGACGGCGTTGTTGGTGTCGAACGACGTGTTCTCGAGCGAGAAATGCGCGAGGTCGTACACTTGAACGACGCCGTTGGTGCTCACGAGCACAATGTACGGCATCTCGTTTGCGTCCTCCTTTTCCACAACCTGGAGGCTGCGGATGCGCGCCGTGATGTCGGGATGCGAAATCTTAGCCAGAAGCCTACAGCCACGACATAATGATTACATTGTGATGGCACAACGTACTGTCCTTGTGCGCGGTAGAGGTAAAAGATGCCGTCGTCCGTGCCCAGCGCAACCAAATCGTTCGTAGCAAATGCTGCTGTGTGCACCTTCTTCTTGTGCTCGAGCGCTCCCACAAGCTACAGCAGGGTGGTGAGCTATCAAATGAGCCTTGCGCGGTGAACAAACCTCGGCGTTCGCCGACCCAAAAATGGATACGTCCTTGCCCATCACCAAGCCATACCTACACTCGAAAGCATGAAAAGGTGGACAGAACAAGCGACATGACAAACCGGTTGCCGTCTGGAGAGAGAAAGACGCAGGTCGCTTCCTGGTCGAGGCGGCGAATGTATGCGGAGCGCCCCTTCACGAGGTTCCACATGCGAAGCGTCTTATCCCTGGAAACGGAGAAGGCCAACTTGCCGCTGGGATGCACCGCGATCGAGTTGATGGCACCCCTAATTGACTGTCCAGTCAGCAAACAGAGAGCGGAACTGGACGAGCGTACTTGTGGCCACCAAGAATGTGGATGCAGTTCCAGTCCGACGTGCGCCAGATGCAAATCGTATTGTCGGCACTTCCACTCAAAACATGCGACTTGCCGTAGTATTCCAAGCACGTGATCGCACCTGCAACGAAAGCTCATGCGACCATTCGACACATGCGACCGTTTGTTGTACCTTTGTGTTGCATGAGGATCCCCACCTCGACCTTCTTCTTCACGTTGTAAATCCTACAGCCACAAACGAGTCAGTGGCATATCACGTAGACCAGACAGCGCATCGTTTGTGTCATACTTGATCATTTCGTCGTTGCCACCAGTCAAGAGCGTCTTGCCGTCGTGCTCCATCATCATGGCCAATGCTTTGATGCATTCCGTGTGGGCGGGGTATCCATAGATCATCTTCAGGGCAGTGCGGGGCTTCTTGCCCGTCAGGTCTTTCGTGGACGCTTCCCAGCCATACAGCATGCCTTCATATGTGCCGGCAACAATCTGTAGCGTCGAGTCTGTCATGGGCACTCCGCTTCTTCGAGTTCAATGGCCTCGCCAAATGCACCGAAACGATTGGCTGGATGGATGTCGAGATTTGGTTGGTTGATTCGCCAAATGTTAAATTACCGATTCGTTCGAAATATATTCGTCCTCTACTGTTGTCTAATATGACTTTGCGTTGAGCATGAAAATACTAATTTGAAGATTATACTACCAGTACTTAGTTTCCTGGGTGAGATTGAGCATAACCACGAGGATTGTGCAATATTTTGAACGAACATTGGATTTTGTGCTAGGAACATTGTGGACCCAAGCTGGTGGGAGGCGAAAGATTAGTACGTAATGAAATTAACTCTGCCGTCCATGTGCTGACGACTTGGACGCATTTCTTGGCTCAAGAAGGACATTGTGTTCATGTCGAAGCACGCAGGAGGTCTTGGCTTACGCCACACGCTGAAGTTGTGGGAGCAACACAACCGGGCCGTGATGATCCGGTGCGTGAAAGCTTTCGCGGTGCCTTCCT